AAACTTCTGTTTACATCATCTTCATTTATTACCACTTGTCCATAAATTCCATACTTTGGAGAATTTTGCTTCTTGTTTGCATATTCAAAAACCTTTAAATTTGAGGCTGTCTCATCAAAGCACACAGATGAGTCAATAACTGAGAAAGGTGTTGTTGGCTAAGTTCTAAACCTTGCAACATAGTACGAATTTTTTATGCTTCTCTCTTGGAATACACTGAAATCAATCTTTGTTTTAGAGCATCATATTTTCCAGAAGCACGACATTTAAAAATAATATTGCCAACAGAATTAAGGATATCAGAGTCCACAGCAGCAATGACATGGTTAAATTTTGTTAAATCAGAAGTTATGTTGGAAAGAGAAAACTGCAATTCCAATCTGACAAACCATAGGGCAGGATTTGTTTTCCAAAAAAGGTAGTAATTTTACTGAAACATACGACTCGTGTGTAGCCTCTGCATCTTCAGCTGCAATGCTATCAGCGGAATTTTCATTACACGGCATTACCAACTTTCCACAACTGAGTATTACAAATATTAATTCTAAAACATATTAATACAGAACTAGAAACAGTGCCTCTTTGCTCCCATATTTCTCTTGCTTTAGAAAAAAAAAAAAAAAAAAAAAAAAAAAAAAAATCTCAAAATGATCATCCGCATTTTTTCTGATGCCCAATAATTGATCTTAAAGCATGGAGGTGTGTTTTACTGCAACAGCCAAATCCAAACTTTGTTTTTTAGGTTCCTATTTAATAAAATGTTGATGCTAAATATGAATTCGCTTACAAAAATGAAAAATTTCACGGTGTGGATTAATACAGTGGCACTAGTCTATGGGCAACAGTCAGTCCAATCAATAATTTCATCCAAACTTTCACATACAGCATCCAGAATTTCAATGAAAATGATTATATAATCATGCTTTTCCACCTATCTTTTAAAGCATAGTTTCTGCAAATGAAATTTTTTTCATACGGAGCAAAATTCATCGATCTTTCATAAAACTCCTTGTCTCTCTGGGGTGTGAAGGAATGAATACATCTTTTCGATCACCCAAAAACATTTTCTGATGTCATGGCAAATACCCGACATAGCAAGATTTCAGCAGTATTGCATAAAATTCGCTCAAATGTCTTTAGGTTGATGTTCAGTAATATGTGTTTGTGTCCTTTTAAACTCTAGGCTCATAATACGAATGCCATCGTAACCTTGCCCTCTAAGATATCTGACGTCCAGACCAAGATCTTTCCAAGTTTTCAAAACTACGAAATACTTTGTGCGGTAGTATAAGTAAGAGGACTGGAACATAAAATTTGTTCACAAATCTTCATCTGCTCCTAGTCAAGATAACTATCACAGAAAGCTATTTTCCTGGCAGTTGCAACATTAGTTTTTTCAACAATCAAGACTGAGAAATATTTTGATAGTTTTACTTGCTCCATAATTTTTGTTTGCATCAGAGAACCATAGGTTTGAAGTTTTTTTGTTTTGGATCAAGAAAGTTGTATATACAGCATTTTTCTTTGCAGTTAGCAGATGATCTTCCAGGGTTTTTGTCTCCAGACTGAACAGCAAATATTAAGATAGCCCTGAAATTTCCTTCACTTTCAGAGGGTAAGTTCTCTAAATCAATTCTTTGATTCCTATGCCTGTGTAATGCCAAACATTCAACACAATGTTATAGTTTTTATTGTGGGCTTCAGTTTCTCTCGATTCAATTTAGACTCTTTCATTTTATTTTGATATAATAAAACAATTATTTTGATCCAGTAAACACCCATAGAGTTTCGTTTCTTGTGAATTTGCCACATAGCAAAAAATACATAATATTTGCAGTATGTCAAAATATGCAAGCCAGGGATACTTTTTGAACCATGCACACTGGAATTTCCAACAGAACCTGTAAGATCTAACTCTTTTAGTTTTCATGCAAAGATACGGTCTTAGTAATAAGCCAGGCAATTTCTCACACAGGCATGAAATAGCACACAGGGAAAGGATTTATATCACCCTTTTATTTGATTAAAACTCTTTAACAAAAAGTACACGTACTTCGTGCTCACAATAACACCGACTACTTGTGGTGGAAACTTAAGAATAATATAACAATAACTTTAAATGGCAAATAATAGTGCTGGACTACTAAAAACTAACAGGCTGACTCAGCAACCAACACCAGCACTAAAATTTAATAAATGGCCAGAAGGCATAGCAGCAACTAAGATTAAAAGCAGGAAGGACAAAATAGCAAAGTGCGCTATACTCACAAAATCACACTCTGTTTAACTTTGTCTTTTTGCTCATTTAAATACTCTTCTTCACTTTAACATAATTTGCATCCCGGCAAGGAAATGTGGAGCTCAAAAAACATTAAAATAATTTAAATAATTGGTTATTAAAACTAGGAGAAACCCTACAAACCTTTTGCTTGAAACACTACTTGATGGGAACTCTTAATTTCTGCATGACTAGCACGTAAGTTTCAGCAACTCCAAACTATCTGTGCTTGTGGCAAGTTTTCTTTCCCTTACTCACTACTCACTAGCACAATGTCTTTGTCATCTGTACTTACAATTTAAAGACACAACAAACTCTCCTCGTTATTAGTACTACGACTACTGCAGGAATTGTAATTAGATATGCGATTACCAATCACTGAAATGCAGCCATCTACTACCAATAAGGAACTACTACGATCACGACCACCTCTATTCTCGACTACTTCAGCCACCATCATATTAGTTTTTTTTTTGGGGGGGGGTAGTTGAAAAAAATTCAGCAGAGAAACTTTCCTTTTGTTTTTCAACCTGGAATTATGATAATATGCTAATATAATTATTCATATAGAAGTTTATATTATCACAAAATGAAAATTTTAATGATTGAGGGCATTAAGTAACTATAATAATTTAATAATAACAACATATTCAAATTCTCAGAAAACTGTGCTTAATTACAGTAAGTGTTATTTTCAGTCATATTCTACTAAGTAAATTAAGAAATTTGGTAAAAACATTAATTGCTAATGCCAAAGTACCACCTTTATCAAATAAATATCAAACCTTATGTGAATCAAAAACACTACTCAAATGACAACAAGAATTACAAACTGTTAAATCCCTTTGAAATGAGATGGCACTTCCATTGCTAAAAGAAAGGAATGTTACCTTTGCACCTGTTTGCAAAGCTGAGTGTATGCAGATGCCAGTGTGTCTTCTACAAATATGTAAATAAAATCATAAAATTAGTTTAAGGAGTTACAGTCTATCGTTTAGTAATTGGTCAGACCATTCTGAGTGGCCTGTTGAGAGGCATGGTCTTTCAGAATTCTAATAAATCTGCCATAGTTAGCATTTTTTTCCTTTCTTTAAATTTCTTTTCCACCATAGCTTAGTATTCTGATCACGTTTCTGGCTAAGAATAAAAGTAAATATAGTGGTTGAAAAAAAAAAAAAAAAAAAAAAAAAACTAATATTTTGTTCTAGACATTCTAATAATCATATAACTTCACATAACATCACCTAAATCTGCACTGCAGAAGCTGACTCATTCTTAATAATGGGAATGCTCATAAATCTCTTGAGATGTGCATACATTTGTTCTCTGCTATTTGAGTATCTGTCCTCCAGAAGACACCATGCTAACTTATAATTGGAATCAGTTATCGATATCGTTTGGATTTGTTCTAAAGGCATCTCCTTTCAATGCTACTTTAAAAGACTGCAATATTATAGCATCTCATAAATATGAATTCTGATCAATACTCGCTTTAAAAATATCCTTAAAGAAGAAAACCAAGAATGCATTTCTCCTGGAAATGTGAGTAATAAAATCTTAGGTAAATGCACAAAAGAATTTTCAGAAATTATAGTATTTCCAGTTTATTCTCTTTAACAATTTTTGACAAACTATTATTTATTTCAAATTCCATATCAATAAGGTTACTGCTGATTTCATCTTGCTCATTCAAAGTTTTTTGATATTTTCATCAGTATTTAATAATAGAATAAAAATACTATCAAACTCATTTTTCAGATTGTTAAATTTAGTTTCTAACAATTCTAAGTTACTAATACTTAAATTTGGCTCAGAAGTTTCTTTTATCATTTCAGTAAAACAGTTTCTTTTTAGAGAGAGCATCTTTCAATTTTGCAGCCATTTTGACGTTTATCAATAATAACAAATTATCACACAAATTTAATTCAGAATTTACTCAGTGCAATTATTAATAATAAACAAAATTTCAAAGACTATGTATCACTTTCTTTCAGCATATGGTCGTAATCCACAAACATAAATTCTCCAGAAACTAAAAATGGCAAAACCGCCTGTTCAACAATTTGCTTATTTACTCAGCCAATTTTACTTCGGCCCTACTGGACCAGTGACACTACAATACTTTTGATAATTGAATAAAAACAATCAGATAACTAGCCTATAAATGTTCCTGACTATATCAATGCTAAGCATGAGTGAAATGATTACAGAAGTGAGAAATTTTTAGAGCCTGTCAAGCAAAAAAGTAGGAAAAGAGAAAAGAAGAATTCTGATTTAGCTCTGGGAAAGGCTGCAGCCTCACAGCACCTCCCTTGGACTTGCCACTGAATGTCATTAAAAGTGCATTATGATTTTGATCAACGAAGTCAAGCAGCATCAGATGCAATCAATACAAATTTTCTTGCGATGATGTGATTCAAATTAATGTGAAAAATATGCAATAGGCTACCAATAAGGAAAAAATACAATGAAATTTAAGGAAATGGAAGATGATCAATATATTCTTGCAGGAGCTAGCTATCAGTTTTATTGATAGCTTTTGCAAGAATATATCATAATTTGCTTTTATATACACTTTCTGAATAATTTTATAAGAAGAGTTCATTGTCAGATATTGAGCTGCTGCATATATAAACTATAAATACAAGTACACTGAATGTAAAAAGTAATTATAACTTCAGTTTTTTCAATTTTTTTAAAATTACCTTAGACTGAGCAACAATTAAAAGAAAAAAATATTTATTATTCTGTAAAAATCTCACATACAGATTAGAATTATGAATACTCCATATATAACTATAAATGTCTACATAATTATAAATATTTGAGAGCATAATTTACAATGTACAATGACCACAAAATGATGCTCATGTTTTTTGCTATCACAGTATAAGAGCATATACTAAAAATTTTAATAAACATGCACGCTGAATCATATGCTATGCTAGTCTTGCAACATCTTCTGAATTTCCTTTTCCTTGTGGCTGAAACAATAAATAAATAAAACTTGAAAATGGAATAGCATCATTACATTATTATTATTATTTTTTTAGATAAACCTATATACAAAATAAATCAAATTCATTTTTTGATTATGGCTTATCCTACCACATCATGAATGATTGAAATAGAAAATTTCTTCTTTCACAATAGACTAAGGAATAAAATTCATGTTTAACATAAAAATTAAAGAAAAGTATTTTTTTAGCAAGCTTCTTCAAGTTATGAGAAAATATAATAAATAACATTTTCAGCACGAAAACATTTTTTTCTGTTCACTGACCTTGTACTTCCTGTACACAGAGAAACAAGATATTTATCTCAGTTTACCATTAAAAATAGAAATTATGATCTTACAAGAGTTTACAAAGAAGCTTTACTTTGAAAAAAAATTTTTTTTGAACACAAAAACTTTAACAAGTGTCTGAAAATAAGATATTTTTTAGAAAAGATATATTTATAGAAAATTATCAAACTGTAACTGTTATACTAAAAATATCCATTTTGAATTTGATAATTTAAATATAAATTATACTGAGAAACTGATGGGAAGTGAGGGTTATCTGCCAATGGACAAAGCCTTTGTAAAATAATTTTTAAAGTAATGATGAGGGTAATGATGTAGCTACTGCTATCTACTGCTTTCATTTCTTCCCTTTTTTATTTTGTAAATGGCATCAATAAGAATGGTTGTTGTTTTAATAACTTCTTTTCATAACATCAGTATTAGTATTGTCTGCAGGATTGACAATTTTGTCAATTCTTCAGACATTATTATCACTTAAACAATTATATGATGCTGGGGGAATTTGAAAGCTAGATATTCTACATAACATGTGGAATACCATATGCAGCAAATGCTTCAGTGTTATTTCAGAAGCACGATGGAGATTCATCAATAAAACTGATAGCTACTTTTTGGCCATGCTATATGACATTTGTAATGTATATGTCTGAATGACTCAAAAAGGAGGCCCTTTACAGGGCTACGCCTGTTTTTTTGTTTGTAAAACTGGAAGGAATTAAAATTTAATGGAATAAAAATTTCATAAGTTATTTAATTAATTAATGGAACCCTTTTTCAATTATGTGTTCTTATTTGTATTTATTTTAAAAACAGCAATTTAAAGATGTCATCTTAGATCACTACCAACAAATGAATCCCATTAACATTATGCAAGGAAAATTCTGTGGCATTTAGCCTATAAGACATTTAGGCAACATGTACATTTAGCCAAAATGGCATCTAGCCAACAGAACATTCAGCCAATGGGTACACTTCACTTAACTAACATGGTCAATGCAGACATGCAGATTAAAAAAAAAAAAAAAAAAAAAAAAAAAAAAAAAAAAATTGCGACAATGTTTTAGTAAATTATGCTCATATTTATCTGACAAAAGGCTGTTTCCAGGGTATACAATGAGAATGTTTAAGGACAAATACCAATTTTTTTTTTCCTTAATATAAAGTTTGAAGATGATATATTTAAAAGTTAGATAGAAATGCAATTTTATTTTGGTGTAGATTTCGAAATCCATTTTGAAAAAAGAATGCTCAGATACAGGTCTTCTATTTCAGAAGGAAAAAAGAAAATTTTAGCAATTGAAAGAGCAAAATGATTTTACATGGGGGGGAGGATGAATCAAGCAAATCGAAAACAAATGAATCTAATGTGATCTGTCGTGGAAAATAATAATCAAATCTGAAAATACTAAGATATTAGAATCTTGAAAACATCAAAAAATTAGTTTCATTACGTAAAGATGAAAAATTTTTGTTACTGTGAAAAGGTTCAAAGAAATCCAGTTTACTATCTGAAGAAGCTATACTTAAATTTTTGTAAACTGAAAGTCAAAGTTATGATAAAGTGTCCAGCTGCGAATAGCTATCAAAAATTTATTTATTTCTCCTTTCAAACATAAGATTCCTGTTACCTGATGAGAAATTTCAAAGCTGTTTCAGTTTAGCTGATATATGTAAAACCATTATTGACATGATAGGTTAAAATGCTACAAGAATTAAAATCAAAGATGGGATCTGAACAATGTTTACTAATAAATGAGAAAACAATTCTAAAGTTTAACTTATAGGCAATCTGAGCAATTTTGTAATCAGTGCTATTATGTTGTTTTTGAAAGCAAAATGTGTTTTATGATGACAAGAGGTACTTAGTTGCTTTTAAATATTGTTATGAACTAAACTTTTTCCTTGTTATTTGCAATGCATTTTTTAATATCAATTAAAGTAATGATGATATTAGATCATGTTTTATAAACATATACTGCATGCTAAACATTCACAATTATATATGCAAGCTAAGAATTAAAATAAATCTAATACTTATCAAAACTGCAAATACTTAATTGTTTTAATTAAATTTGATTTTAAGGTAAATACTTAAATAAATTTGGAACAGTAAAAAAAAAAATTAAATTATTAAATTTATACATCTTGTATTTTTTACAACTGCTATTAAACACTGTTATGTGCTATATTTTCTTCTTTGTAATTTATTTGTGATGCATTTTTAAATATAAATATCTATTAGACTGAGTTTTACAGAATGCACATTTTTTTTTTTTTACTGCATGCTAAATACTCATAATTATATATATATGCAAGTTAAGAATTAAATAAATATAATACTTAAATAAATTCAGCATTTGGAACTGATAAATTCCAAATTGTGCAAATGCTTGATTTAAGATAACACTTTAATAAATTTGAAACTAAAAATAAAATAAAATTATTAAATTTAACAAACATTTTCTATTTGTATAAAGCAAATTTAAAGTTAATTTAAATTTTGTATTTTTTATAATTAATATATTTTCGGTTTATTAGAAGGCTGATAGCTGCAAAATGGAGCTATTTATTATTTTAACAAACTGTTCTGTTTTAGCAGCAAAATGTAATGGATATAACAGCAAAGTAAAAGAACACTTTTCTGTAAAATACCCATAAATATCATTTGAAATACTTCAGTGCTAAATATTTCACAGTAGTTCTTTTATATGGTGCATTATATTTCTCATTGGTAGCACATGCCTCATATTTCATTCAACTCATCACTGGTAACACTGGCCGCATACTTCATTGCAAAATTTTAAAACTTATTATGTAAAAACCAGTGGCGTGTGGTAGGTTTTCATGCAGGTGTGCAGAGAACAACAACAATAATAATAAAACCATAAAAATGTACATTAAACACTTCTTTAACTTTTTATTATTCATTTGTACACAAAATCTATACGTCTATACGTATTACTAACAAACTCATCAATTACATGATCATAAAACTCTGGTTTTGACCGTAATAAGTGTAACATTTCTTTTTCTATTGATATTAGAGATAAATTGTTTAATATATTCTGGCTCATTGTAATTGCGTGCATAATTTTTTACTCTTTTCAATGCTGAAAATGATCTCTCCACTGAAGCAGTTGAAAATGGAATTGTACAAATTAAATGTGCCAATTTATTTACTTCGCTTAGGGCATCTGTCAAGTCATTCAGCATTATATGCTGAATAAATTTTGATTAATTCATTTCATGGTATGACTCACTACAATAAAGAACGCATAATTCATTGGTTAGCTTTATAAAATCGAAATATTTTGCATAAGCGTTCTTTAACAAATTAGGCATTCATCCAGAAATTTACTTTGATATTTCTTAAAAAAGCTGAAATTCAATAGTTCAAAAAATTAGAGTGAATTTAATTTTTTAAAACGGACATCTAACTGACAATAAATAGTATCCATTCTTTCATAATATAAATTTTAAAAATGTTAGTCTTGGTCTACACTTGAGTTTTGTAAATTTACACGACGCTTTTTTTAAATTTGGGGGACCAACTACAGAAATAGTCTCTTCATAAACTTCATCAAATGCAACAGAAGTTCGCATATTTCAAATTGCATCTTTAACTTTCTCTACTTTTTGACTAGAATATGCTATATCTAAGTTAGTTTTTCGTAAAATGTCAAATAGAACATCAGTCTAACTAAACACTGGCAAAAATATTTAGGAGAAAATTACCGTTAAATTCTTCAAAAAAACATGTGATACCTCTTTGCAATATTAATTGTATCATTATCCCAGCCTTCTGGATTTTCAATAATATTTTCAAATAAATCAGATAGGCCTTGCCTTTCGCTTTTTATGGTATTTACCAAACGAGATGAATAGTTCCAATGTGATGTAGCTAATTTTGGAAATTTTCTTTTAATAATTTCATTTAAAACATGATTTCTTTTTGTAGACACCGGAAAAAATGAGGCTATGCCAGAAATTGTTGCAAAAAATAATTTACAATCTTTTATAAATAATACAGATTTTTCAGTCACCTCAAATTAATAAAAATTGCTTACCATGACAAATATATGAGAAGGAATCATTTCTCGGATAAGAGGATCAAGTGAAAGCTCATTTGATCTTCCAGGACTCAGAGTTAAACGCAGATGTGGCAAAAGAGCATAACCAGGTACCAAAGGATAAAGATTGTATTTCAATTTATAAACATCTCTTGGCAAAATTCGGAAATGCATCTGAAAAATTGAAAACATATGTTTTTCATTTGTTGGTGCTACCAAAAACTAAGTGAATAATACAGTCAAGTACCGATAAATGACTGCTTCTTCAAGCACTAAACTGTCTCTTTTTATAAGCAATATAATTTGAAATAAAGCTGTGAAAAATCAACAGTTTAAAAAAGAACCTTGGTCTGTGTAGTAGTTCATGACAGTTTTGAAAATTAAATAAGAAAAATGTTATAACATTTCCTAAACAATGATTTATATTCTTTATTTTTTGTATGCTATTAAAAACAATTTTGTGAACGAATATTGACTTCATTTCTTTAAATGAATAACATATTCTTATGACTATCAATTTATCTACTTATTATTTTCATGAAATTAGCATTCTGTTAGCTCTTAGCTCATACCAAATCTGACATTTTAAAATCTTTTAAATGTACTGATCATCCCTTTTTATAACATGATGTAACCGTTGAATTTTTTCATTTGAGAATCCTTCCCTTTGAAGATAACACAGATGTTTAACTTTGTTGCCACCCTGTAGCTTGTTATGGGCACTAGATTTTAAGAATATTATTTATCAGAAAAAAAAGGGGGTGGAAACATGCAATATAAATATGAGACAGAGAAGAATCGGCTCATCAAAAAAGTTGCATGGTACAAATTTTGAAATAATAAATTTAATTAATCATTTATATTAAAATAAGATTTATTAGCTAATACACAATTACAAAATCCACCTGTAAATATCTAGAACTTCACACAATTATGAGTGCAGACAGGAGAAGAAACATGAAGACATAAAACAAAATTATATACACAAAACAGAATACACTTAAAATACCTTGTATTTTCTATGCATTATATCCCAGTTATTTAAATATAAAAATATAACTTTTCAAAACACATAACAAATTTATTCTTATTCAAACAATTCTTTAAACAATTCTTTGATGGTAAAATGTATAAGTCACATTAAAAACAAATTTATAAATTAATATCGTATAATATCAATTCTAAGGCATAAAGCACATTAAATAAAAATTTTAAAATATAACCTATAAATAAATTAGTATTTAATAATAGCAATTCTTAGATGAAAAGTTTCTGAAATATGACTAATAAAAAGACAATGACCACTCTGTAACTTGATCCAGACCATCAAGTGTATATAACTCATATCATCAGAAATATCTTAATTTTGGCATCAACCTAAAACATTTCTTAATACTAACGAATTAAAATTGCATCTCCAACAGCAAAAGTAATTTTTAAGAAAAACCAAAACACAGATTTTTATCCTTATGTTACTGCAATGTAATTTATCTTATGCCTTCATTTGTGAACACAATATATATTAAATGAGTGTTTCTCAATCTATGATCCATGGCCTTATAAGTGTTCTTTGAAGCCCGCCCTTGAGTTCTTCCTAGATTTCCAAAAATGACCAAAAAAGCAATAGTAAAAATAACAAACTGAAAGACAACAGTTAATTGAACTCTCAAATGACACTTGCCTTGAAATGAAATTCCAAGCAGAAGATATGGTTAATTTTTGAACCTCATTACTAGTGAAAACAGAATACAGAGGCTGTACACACATTTTTTAGGCGATGTATATTGTATTCAGAAAACTAAATTACATAAAATTCTTGTGTTTTAAATGTTCTTTTTGACATCCCTTATTCAGAGCTATCTTTCGACACCGCAATTTCCAGGATAATAATTTGAAGTGGCAGAAGAGGTATTCTATCCCATTCCTCCCGAACAGCTTTCCAGAGTCCTGTTAGGGTTTTGGGACAACGTTTGGATATTGCAGTTTTTAAAAGTCCGAAAGCACAAAAATCCATAGGTGACACATCGGGAGATTTAGTAGGGATATCAGTGAAGGGTATGGGCTTGATACCAGTTTTTTGTTCCATTTCTTTTAGGAAATTTACAGTGGATTTTGATGTGTGACTGCTAGCTTTGTCCTGATGGAGTCTCACAGATTGATGGCACTGTAGGTAAAGCAATGGTATTTCATTCCGAAAAATTGGCGATAAAATATGTTCCTGATACAGTCAAAAGTTGTTAATTCAGACACCCATAATCCGGACCTCAAAGCTAAAAACTTTCTGCGCAGGCGCTGCGTTGACACATGCGCATAGGCGTTTATGTGTGCGCGTAAGACCTTTACGACTGCGCATATGCGTGTGCGCAAGCGCAGAATACGTTTTCCCGTGTGCGTTTAATGTATAACGGACAGTATAAGCTAAAATTATCTAATTATCTATTTCAGTTAATGTTGATGATTGCGTTGTTCCTTAATCTTCGAATTGGATGCGGCTTATTATTTTTTGCAGACTGTAAGAGCAATTTTATAAAAGTAAACTTTCGATTATGTCAAATAGAATTTCCGATGCTGGAGCTCCCAAAGGATCTACAAAACGAAAGTATGTTTTGATGTCCGTCAAACAAAAAGTGGAATTGCTGCAAAAAATGGATAAAGATATGAAGAAGGTGACAGAGAGGTTAGTGAAAACGGAAAAATTTCGATTTACAAGTTAGTCGGTATTCTCGGCACAGCAATTACGGGACTTGAACAGCGAAACTTTGTAACCGAACAAGAAATTATGTTTGTTTATAGAATTAAAGAGAAAGTATTATCACATAAAACGAAACAACTTACATTGAAAGAAATGTTTAATAAAGTAAACAAATAAATATTAAGCTTTTTTTTTTTTTGTGTGTAAATTTTGATACCCTTTAGATCGTAATTGTTCTTTATTTCATAAATTACGGTTTCATATTTTTAATTTTAGAATTTCTGCCATCATTACGAGATTAAACTGATGATCTATAATCCGGAAAAATCGATAATCCCGAATTGCCGAAGTCCTGACGATTCCGGATTAACGACTTTTGACTGTAGTATTTGGAGTTAATCTGGACATTTTTTTTGCACTCTCTTTATTTTTAACTTGCCATTATAAGAAAAACCAGCAACAATCATGAATCCCTTAGAAAAACTTTCTTTTGATTCTTTGAACCATATGCTTAAATTTTTTTTCTCGTCTTTTATGATACTAAATGGCTTTTTTGTTACAATCATTTAAATACAACCATGCTTCATCTATTGTGACAACTGTTTTCCATTTTTCTTTGGGTAAGTGTTTCTCATATAGAATTCTGCAGCGTGTCCTGAGTTGAGCTATATGCTTTGGAAGAAGACGATGCACATTGCATTTTTTTGCTTTCTTAAGATTTAAATCAACGTTTATCATTTTGTTTACAGTAGACACCGAGCATTTTAATTATTTTGCAACTATCCTTTGACTAGGGGAATTTTCTTTTAACATTAAACAATGTACCTTTGCAATAGTCGAAGATGTCCGTTTTTTCCTTGGATAATTGTTTGGAATTTTTGTTCCACTTGAGGATCCAATTTAACGTTTTTTTTTTCCTTTCTTGTTGATAATATTACCTATCTACACTTTAGATATCACAAAACCATGACCCTCACATCGTTTTTGGATAATGGAGTATGCATATTTCTTTTCGGAAAGAGCATAAATGTAGCCTTCGAACCACTGCTTTGTTAAATTTGCCATTTTGAATAAAAACAAAAGCCACAGACGATAATTTTGACTTTTAAAAACATAGTACAATTGCAATTACTTCTTTTGCAGCAAACGATTTTTTATTACCGCTTACCAAAATCGTCTAAAAAATGTGCGAACAGCCTCTGTATAGTGAACTGTACAATGTGTTTTAAAAATTAGAATTCAATTTGCTCCTATGTATCTGTATGAGAAATAAAGTACTACAATCGATTAATGTACATGCGAGAACTGGCAGGCTTATCTATCTCATTAAGTGTATAAGAGCAATGCTTTAATTTTTAGTAAATAAGATACTGACAAATCTAATAGCTTTAAACTATTAAAAGTAAATATAAATTTTGTTTTATTAATTTAATTACTTAACATCACTGTAAAATTTAATGAATTTTAATGAATTTTGTTTTAAAAATTTAAGTATACTAGTAGCGATATATGCTAAAAAATTGATTTGGAAGGGGACATGAGTAAGATGGTCTACAGAACACTCTAATTTTTAAAACTGGTCAACACCTGAAAAAAGTTTGAGAAAACCATGAAATTAATGAATTGTCTTTTCATTTACAGTTTTTGCACACTGACATGATGAGCTGGTCATGATAGTTACTTCAATTAATTATGATTTCAAGAATATTTAGAACATTAACCCGGCATTACTCGCGCAGGGTATGGCATACCCATCTTCTTGAAATTTTTAATGTTTCTTCCTAATCTTTTTTGGGAAATGGATGAGTCTTTGTATATCTGAACTCTAAGGTCATAACCTTGAAGAAGGGAAAACCTGGGGCCAAATTCTGAAAATAGTTCTTCAGATATTGCCTTGAATGGGTATATTATACCCTGCGCGAGTATTTGCGTTATAGTTCTGAGTATGCGAACAAACATTCAAATTTTCTTCTGATATGGCTCGTTATCGCAACTATGATGAAAATATGCAATAATTGAGAAATTTATTGGATATTGTATCTTTGAATGAATAACTATTGTGAAAAAACAAAAGAGATTTCTCCAATGTTTCTTAATAAAAAAAAGAAAGAGATTTACTCTCCATGTCCAAAAAAAAAAAACACAATAATTGTCTCACACACCCAGAAAAATAAGAATATTCTACTTTCAACTATCCATAATGATGATGTAATAGACTCATCTACAGGAGAATCGAAAAAACCTGAAACAATAACTTTCTACAATTTATCTAAAGAAGCAATTAACGTTGTAGACAAAATTGCTGCCACATATTCAATGGCTAAGAAATCTACTCATTGGTTCATACCAATATTTTTTGCACTGTTGAACGTTGCTGCAATATATGTGCGAAATATTTTGTTATATACAAAGAAACCACCTACTGAACATCAAACAAGACGGTCATTTTCCAAATATTTGGGATTTCAACTTGCAGAAGAATACAAAAAAAAAAAAAAAATAGAAGATAAAAAGCGATGCTTCCATGAAACATAAAAGAAAAAAAATCTGATGTGTACATCACATGACTTCCTTGTATTGGAATATTAAATTATATGCATTTTTTCTTGCATTTCATTTAAACTTATTGGATTGAATTAAATCTACTTCGCCGACAGCGCATAAACCACAATAGAATAAATGCATTCTTTAAAACTCACTCTAGTATTTGTTTACCAGAGCGACACTCTGGCGCTAGATTCACTTAACAGTATTAATAATTATATAACAGTTAACTTATATAATAATTTTATAATGGAAACTAAGCTAACTGTTATATAATCCAATAATTATATAACAGTTAACTTATATATTTCTTTCATATTATAACTCATAATGCACAAAATTTATATCATTTAAAGAATAGAATTATCTAATCGTTGCCTCATGTTCTATTCAAATACTATAATAAAGCTAGAATGATGTATAAAGAAATTAAGCAAACAAAACAAAAAAGAAACAGTTTTTCACAGACGATTGAGTATTTCTCATTTAATTAATTCAGTTCTCACTTTGCGAGAAGGCAAAAATACATAAAAACTCAAAATATCTATATTAAAAATTACGAAGTAAATCTTAAACGCTTATTTCCTCGAAAAAATTCCAGAAAGGATTAAGCATGATTTAAATAATAAATGAAATCATTATCTTTGTTGTTGCGAAGCTAAGTTTCTCTAAATTGGCAACAAATCCACTAGTTTCCTGTTTCAAATCTAAACATCAATGGCCGCCATTAAAAAAGGCTTAGCGGCAATTAAACAACTTTAAAATTGCTGATAATTATAAAAATATTGCACACAGATTTACTAAAGGCATAAAATCCTTAACCGGAAGATAAAAACAACATAATTCAATCATTTTTAAAGCAAAAAATGTACAATTTACCAACATATAAGAGTAAGAAACTGAGATCACTGAGCCCAGGTAACAGAGTGGATATATATATAAATATATTTATATACGTTTGGTGCGGCCGATTGCAACCAAAATACGAGGTGCACATCTACATGTTATAGCAGTCCTATATACAAAATTTCAACATTCTGAGGCTACTCGTTTTTTTGAGTTATGCGGGATGCGTACGTACGTTCGTACAGACGCCATGAAAAATTCTCTTCAGAATTCATTTTAAAGCAGTTTTATAATTTTTTTGAAGGAAAAGTGTATTTTATTCTGTCCTTATGTACAGATATCACGCAAAAACATCGTTAAATTGCATTCGATAGAGGTCAAAATGGATATTTTCGTTGAAATATGCTGCCTGAAACTTTTCGCGATTACAATACTTCCTTTTTACTTCGTACAAGGAAGTAAAAAAGGATCCAATGGAGACATTGCTCCACCTACAAAGAAGGCCAATGTAATAGCTAAAAATGCCCTGAATACTGTAATAGAAAGGACAAAAAAACTAAATTTATTGTGAAAGGTGTGACAAACATATATGTATGGAATCCATGGCCTGTATTTGCAGAAAATATGCAAAATAAATGTAAATAACATAATTAACTAGTTTTACAACTCTAGTTTTCTTTTTAAATTTTTTTTCTGCCTTTCATACATAGCTTTTCTGGTAGAAAATATAATGAAACACGCTTGGGTATGACACAACATGCACGAGTAACATTGTTCATTTTTGTCATGCGGGTAATACCGGGTTAATAAGACAGGTTTATATTCAACATCCATTAAATCAATCATATTCAAACTATGAACGACGATCACAAACAGGGTTGCAAATATTTATAGTGGGGTCACAAGATGGATAAAAATTATAAAAAAATCTGAATTGATGATACATAACAAAAAATCCATGCTTTGACTGGGGTCGCAAATTTTTTTGGGGTGTCATTTGCATTTTTATGAGGTAACAAAGTTTGATGGAGCCATAAAGTTTGAATAACACTGCATTAAATAATTGACATTCACAATTTAAATCTGCTGGGGGTTGGGGGAAAGAAGATGAAGAAAAGAAAAGGATAACAGTGTAAGAGTGATGCTGTGTATAATGTGTTAGGTAAGGTAAGCAATACTAATAACAACAAAAAATATATTATAACTGAGGTTTTTTAAAAATGCCAATAAATGAATGTAAGTTGAACGTAGATGGTATGAAAAGTATATTCTGGATGATAAGAGCTATTTAATCCTGAATAATAAGAGTAATTTTTTATTACCTTTAAATCATCTAAACAAGTTAAAATAATCAAGTTGTAATTTAAGAAATAATAAGATGGTTGACTTATTTAGGAAGTTTAAAGTATTTTAGAAAAAGAGTTACTAAACAAAATTTACTATATAAAATTTTTATAGATCTTTTTGTCTCATAACACATAATTTCTGTTTTCCACTAATGTTGTAATGTTGGATGCTTAAAACATGTTTCTGAAAAAAGCTTCAGGTTTTTGTCAAACATTCAATACTTTTTCTAGATATTCCATACAGAAAAATCTCACCATCTATTTTTAAGTTAATTTTTTCTTTAAATATTTTCAAGACTTATTTAAACATAAAAAAAAAAAAAAATAATATCAAGATGTAATATTTTTTATTTACTTAAATGTAGAAAATACGCTTTTGCATGTAGAATAACAGTTAATCATTTCCTTAAACTCGCGTAAAACTTATAACAGTATGAGACACATCATGTCAAAGAAAACTTAATGAAAACATGCTTTGCATATGATGACTAGAAGGTGAACTATACCTGCTTATTCCCTGCATACATAAAAGCATCACTGCTATCCACTACTAACTCCATATCCTGTACACATGTAGTTCGATTGTGGATAAAATAAGTTATAGTCATGGGAGTGCGAACCCAACCATGAGCTGGGCTTTCCAGCTCTAAAAATATAGGTGGTTTTGTGGCATCTATTACAGGCAACAGAACATCAGTGTGAATGGAGTAGCACTGCTCACTAGATGATTTTCTGAAAAGTATTAAGAAATAGTTAAATGACATACAGTTCAGAAAATAACTGCTTGATAAAGAATTTAAGTTCCAAATTATTAATGGTTTTAAAATAGAGAAATTAATTAAATAGTTAAATGAAACTGAAAATACTGGACAGAATATCACTGTGGATCATTAGAAAAACAAATTATGAAATATAAACCTAAAAATAGTTGATAAGCATGATATTTTTATTTTCCTAGTAATTACTTATCCCTGATTTTCAGTGACATTAAATAATACACAATCTTTTTTTTTTTGGGGGGGGGAGAAAGAGTATTTTCAGAGTACAGCTAAAAAAATGCATGGAATGAATGAAGTAAAACTTCTCTACTGGAATTTCAGCATATTTTTTAAAATAAAATTTGCTTATTGATATTTTTAAAAAAAAGTTTACTTGTAATTTGTACATTAACACTAAGTAAGCAGAAACATGGGTCCAAATTCACATGCTTTCTTTAATGCAGTCAGTCAGCTATTTTATTAATCAACAAACCTTATTTAAGAACTAAGCAAAATTTATTTTGCTATTTTTGTTATTTATTCATATGAAACAGAACTTCATAAAACAACTAACACAATTCCAACAATGCAAATCTTGGTACTGTAAGATCAAGGATTCAGCTGATTTGCATAAAATAAATTTATATGAAAATTTAAATACATAACTTGAAATAATAAACTAATTCAAGAAATTTGTCCATCATGCTTTTTGGAAAGTAATGTTATTGAACAAAATAATCAAAACTTCATTTACACATAGTATGAATTACATGCAGGTGCATCAATATATCCACAAATAAGTAAGCATATATTATGTATTATTGTAAAAATAAATATAGTCTTAGTCTGAGCTCTCTTCATTAAATTGCTGAACACAATGCTAGCTTTCTAAAATGATACAGCAGAAGACACATACAAATATAACATTTTGAAATATGTATAAACAAGTGTATACATACCTCTTCCATTTTAAAGTGTAAGCACCTAAGTTTATTTTGGGAGGGCAATCTGCATCTGATACAAGAACAAAGCACTCACAAGCAGCTTCATTGAAATGAAGAGAGTCAAAAAAGAAATTGGAAATAAAATATAATATATTAATAATAATAATATATAATTATATATATATATATATATATATAATATAATATATATATATTATATATAATATAATATATAATATATAATTAATAAGCAAATATAATTATATATTGTACTATATAAATATAATTATATTATATATAGTACAATTTTAAATAAATAATCTTTCAAAAACTGTATCAATTAACTTTTAATTTATGCCCATGCTTTTTTGTTACAGAGCAAAAATATGATTATGTAACAATAAAATAAAAAAACTACACCTACAGTTATATTAAAAATAGCTTGAAATTCAATCAGATAGTTCCTATACTCGTATATTACTCTACCAAGAACCTTTGAAGTCTATAATAGAATTGAACTACCTTTATGTAGCAATGCAGTAAATATAGATTGCCATGATTACCAAACACTGATATGGGATGCTTACAAAAACAAAACATGAAAAAGGAAGCATAACAAAAAATTATAAACATTATAACATTCTAAAAAATTGAAAATAGTGGATAGGTAATGGTTTATTTTACTCTGATTAAAAAATCAATGAAGTTTAATAAAATGAAAACATAGAATAATTAAAAAAGTGGAAGGCTAATCATTTTTAGCTCAGTCATTACTTTAATTACATTAGTTTCTTCTTTCAAATAATTATAAAATTGGGCACAAGTCATTTTAAAATTATAATGACAAATCAAAATTGCTTCAGTTGTCTCCACTGACCACCTGCTTCTTTTGTCCAACCACTAAGCTGACATTAGGGAAAATATTCTTTCCTTGTTTGTATTGTGGGCTGGAATGGCATATATGTATTTGTATAACAGTACACTGGTTGTCTCACACAGAGTTTACAGAGAAAACAGGATATGTAATACAAGATTGAGTAATAGGATAGGTAGTGGAATAAACAGGAGCTGAGGAAACGGTTCAGGTATTACATGAATGAGTAGTGAAATACGGTAACAGTACTGTATATACAAGATTATATGGCAACCCTAAGTATATAACATAGAATAGTCAAGAATAATTATGAATAATAGTCAAGAATTTCTCCAATTACACTAACATCATCTAAATTACTGATTACTTATTTTAATTTAGCTTAACTACAACTTCTAATAAGATAAACAATATTCTCGGAATAATATATTAGTAAATCTAAATATTCAATAACATACCATTTTATAATAAACTTGAGACATAAAAATCAGCTTTTTTTCATCTGGAATAAATTATTTATTTAATCTCAGGAAATACTGAATCATTACTTTATTCTTCCTTTGAGGTATTGTTCACAAATTTCATACAGTCTATAATGCTTTTAAATGAATCAAATTTCAGTCCATAAACATTTTCCTTTGCTTTTAAAAATACAAAGTGACATGAAGCTAAATCTGGACTATATGAAGGAAGGTCGAAAAGCTTGAATCCTCAAACTCTTAGAAATTAAAATGTTTTGTTGCACTGTCAAGAAGCAATAGCCCACACAGAAAAGTATTATTGCATTGTCAAGACGCAATATCCTTGCAATCCAATTTCTGTCTAATTCACATTTCATTGACCATACTAAAAATATTTTGTGATATACGTAGGTAAGTCAGAAAGTTAGATGCACCCCTTCATAAAAATTTTCTGTCAAAGGCTTATTTTAATGAAACTGTTTGGCAACACTTCAGACATTTAGCTGTATCATGTGATGTAGTGGCTTTCATAAGGCAATTTTAATTTGTCTGATAATCAGTTGTAAACATGTTTTGACAGCTGCAAGCGGCATCCAAATTGGAAATGCATGCAGTGGTTTGGTTTTTGTGAGTGAAGAGGTGTAACTTGCTGTGAAATTTATCAACATTTGCATGAGGTTTATGGTGAAAATACAATGTCATGTCAAGCTATCACAAAGTGGTGCAACATGTTTGAGAACGGATGTACAGATATTGATGACGCTGAGCATGAATGAAGACCATCAACTGCCACAAATCCTGAAATTACTGCTCACATTAATGAATTCATTCCTGCAAACGGATGTATGACGGAATAGATATCTAATATCAAAATAGATAGACGAAATCTCTAATGAACTGGATATTTCTCATGGAAATGTTAAATTATTGCTGAAAAGCTTCAATTTCATAAAGTTTGTGCTGAATGGGTGCCTCATCTACTGATGGCAGAACATAAAGGGAAGTGTTTTGAGAGTGCATTGAAATTTCTGCAATGCTACCAAAAGGAAGGAAATGAGTTTTGGTACAAAATTGTGGCCAGAGATGAGTCTTGGATTCACCACTTCTCACCTGAAATGAAATGCAGCTCTCTCGAGTGGAAACATTCCAATTCCCCCACTTGAAAAAAATGTGTTGAACTGTTTTATCTGCGGGAAAGGTGATGCTGACACTGTTTTTCAGCAGAGAAGGTTTGATGCAGAGTTCATGCCGAAGGGTGCCACAATTAATGCATCTTCTTATTGTGAAACACACATGACTGTGACAATCACTTAAAAATCGATGGCCAGGTAAATTGTCGAAAGTCATTGTGTTATTACAATGTGACAATGCAAGACAGTATGCAGTAAAACAAACATGTGACTTTCTGAAAAAATTTATGTGGGAAGTGTAGGTTCACCCTCATTATAGCCCAGACCTTGCACCATGTGACTTTTATGTTTTTGGTCCCATGAAAGCAGAACTTTCTAAGTGACGGTATTGGATGGCAAGGTGAAAGCTGGAACCCAAGAATGGTTTATTAGACACTGGACAGGATTTCTTTACTTCAAAAAACTTGTACCCCGCCTCCACAAATGATTAAATAACAGAAGTAGTTACGTTAAGAAGCAGATTTTGAATGGAACTTTAAGATACAAATAAAGTTATTGCAAAATTTCTATCTTGTTTTGCTTCCTTAAGCAATGCAACTAACTTTTTGAATGACCCTCGTACTATTCAAACAGTCACTGCTCTTTGATATTCTAGCATTACAGTTTTAACATGCCCATTTCTACAGAGAAAAGAGCACAGCATTTTCTTCCCACCATTTCACAATACCTTGATGTTGATAGAAGAATATTCATAAATTCGTTTTGAGTGATAATGTTAAAATGTGTGTTAAAGTCCTTCATCATATATTTCAAACTCTTTTTTGGATACCAGTCTGTTCAAGCCAGTTTTGATTGGACGATCAGGAAATGAGGATTCCAAAGACTTCAAAGCCTCCTGACATCAAGTTTTTCTTGAAGAATACTTCTAATGGCTGCTGATCAAATATTTAAAACATCTTAAATTTAAGCATAATTTGTAAGATAGTCCTCTTTAACATCATCTCCACAGTGCTGATATTTTGATCAATTAAAGCAATGGCCAATCAGCCACATGCTCTTAATTTTGCAAAGAATTTCACTCCTTTCTTAATTCATTTAGCTGCTTGTAACTGGCTGCTTTGGAAAGAAAGGGTCTGGTGAAATATCACACAAATATTTTAAGTATTCAGCATTTACTTAATCTAACTTTAATGCTGTAATAAAATTGTGACATGAAAATGCTCAGAATTGAATTCTACATTTTAAAACTAAGTGTCAGTTAAATAAATACAATACTGTCTTCTTGCCAAACTGCAATTTTAAATCCTTTGTACATGGCACTATCAAATGTTTCCTCTGCATAAAATACAAAACATTTTATGTGGCAGCATCCTCAAAATTTCAAAGCAAACTATTACTCCAAAATTGTCTTATACTAATGATATTATTATTTCTACTTTAAAACATCTGAGAGTATAATATTAAGAGAACATTATTTTTACAATAATGCATTCTTCAGATTTCATAAATGTAAATAGATTTCATGTATGTAAAGCGCTAAGCTGGTAATGGTTTTTGTGATTAATTTTTTTCCATCAAATTTGGCGAGAATTTGCCCAAAGTTGCCAAACTCGGAGATCATCTGGCGACATTTTGCTCTGATCCCTATACAATTGTAATTATCTGATTGCTACATGTAACAGTAACTGTATCCAGCAGTATATGTAACTGTATACAGGTCTTCCAAGAATATCAAGAAATTGAAGGTATAGGAAATTTCCAGGTGGCCAGAACAAAACTATATAAGACCAGATAGAGCATCAGTAGTTTTAGTACATACTTGAGTTCAGAGTATTGAGAGATCTCTGTGTGAGCTTTGCTTCTTAGATGTGCTTTGTGCTGTATTTTGTATTGTGTTTAATGTTCTTAATAGCTTGAGGTGGTAACTACTGATTGTACCGAGAAGAACTGTACAAGTACTTCTGTGAAAAGTCTCAAAAACTATAAAGTGTTTCTTTTGAAGAAATAGACTTAATCAAGATATCATTGTTTCTGTATGCATTCAATCCATTACGAACCCATATGCACATGACAACACCTTATATCACTCTTTTTTTTTTACTACAAGTCCTGATTAAAATTAGAAGTCAAAAAGAATTTAAAAAATAATACAATTGTGAAACTAGGCAAAATAAGAACTTACAATTTTGCAGAAGTGAAGTAACATCCTTATCCACAAATTTTATTTGATAGGGCTGTAATGAAAATGAGAATGAGAATGAGCTTCTAAAAGACTTACTCTGTATTGAACATGATTGCAGTAAGGAAATGGTAGCAACAGAAAGATGTTTATGGGTAAATTACTATAATTTTTTGTACCTAACCATAGTTTCTCACTTTATATAACATATAAGTAACAAATGTTTTTGACAAACATATGAACAACGATAAATAGAGTTGGGGCAAAAGTCATGCCAACTATTTTTTTCTTGTAGATATGTGAACGGATCACAAAATGTATATGTGTCGTGTGGAAGTTCTGTAGGCATAGTGTGTATGCAGAACAACAGATGGCTCTGTCATAGCTGGCTATGTGGTAGGGAGGGCTCTGAAATCAGTCAGTTGGTGAGTGTCGTGCGAGATGGAAGCAACCCGTGTTGAGCACCGTGCTGACACCAAAATAGCCGTTCTCCGAGGGAGAAATGCGATGGAATGTCACAGTGAATTAGTAGAAACCCTTGGGAATAATGCCCTATCATATTGTACAGTAGCACGGTGAGTAGGAAAGTTTCAGCAAGGACGTATGTCAACCAGTGATGAGCAACGTTCGGTTCGACCGGTGATTGTGTAGACCCGATTTAGCACATGCCATCATCGAGCACCTCATGGATGAAAACAGACGATGAACGTTACTGGAGTTAGAGAGGGCAAGTAGCATCGAAAAACGCACCATCCACAGGATATTGCTTAATGAGCTAGCGTCATAACCCTTCCCCAGTCAAATTGATGGTGATCCTCGCGTATGACGTCAGGGGTGTCATTATTTGCCACTTTGTTCCTCATGGCAGAACAGTGACCGCACAGTACTACAGGGACTTCTAGGTACGATGTGGTGCTCGGGATAAACATCCAGATCTTGTGGACAGTGCAATAATTCTGCACGACAATGCAAGACCAAATAAAGCAGAAAATGTGTATGGCAGCTACTCCGACTTTGGAAAGAATTGGAACCACCATCGGTACTCTCCTGACCTTTCGCCCTATAACTTTGATTTCATTCCCAAGATTAAGGAACCAATATGAGGTAGGTGGTTTGCAACACGAGAGGAATTTGCTAATGCTGTGTGCCAACAGATGACCCGATTCACACATGGTGCAGCAAATGATGAGGCTGATGGTATTCAGCGCCTCCCCATCGTTGGCAGCAGGTCGTCACAATAGCAGGGGACTACATTGAGGGTCTTTAGGCCCAGGTTTGTCATGTCAACTTTATGTATATTGTGTTATAATTCTTTTGCACGGTGAATGCCATATTGCCCTGTATACTACCGTAATAAATTCGTGTGTTACGATATTTCAGTGCTATTTGTCCACACATGTAGTTAAGACCTTGTCCTTTCGTCTGTATATGTCACATTTTTCAACCGGACTGATATCTTCAAGGAAAAAAATAGTTGCCATGACTTTTGCCCCAACCTACGTAAATTGATCTGATATTTTATTAGTAAAATATGCAGTTTTTACTAAATACAATTTAATAAAAAAAGTTACATGTATTATATTACAAGCAATAACTACACAATGGCATGCTAACTAGAGAAAGCAGGCTAGTAATTTAACATTTTAGACAATAAAGCTTTTAAGTAAACTTTTACTTGACATTCAAAGGCATTAAAAAGAAAACCATTTTATCTCTTCAAACTGCTAGCGTTTGTGTACAATCTAGGTTTCACTGGAATTTGATGTGATGCTCAAAATGTGTTAGCTTTACGTTAGAAGAACTAGCTAGTTTTTCTAACGTAAACGAGATCCCTCAGCTGCCTTGACACGCTGTTACTGCTAGGGGTGAGCCTCAAGAAATTTTACTTTTTTCATGATTCTTATAAGTTAAATTAAGCAACTCTTAGTGTTATATTTAGTTTACATTCATGAAAATGCTCTTGTGATGCATGAAAGGATTCAAAGTAAAATATATCAACTCAGAAAATTTAAGTTAAAACTATGCAAAGGGGAGCAATAAGAATGAATCCGCACACAAGACATCATTATGGAATATGCATAAACAACACCTGAAGCTATTTTGTGACAATGTGTTGATCAGCTGTCAGTAATATAATCCCATGAACTTGATTGCCTGTCTACTATGTCTTTGGGAAATTATGTGTTCAAAAGAAGTAATAAAAAATTATAAAAAGTGCATCAACTTCATATGCTCTCATTTATACAAAAATTAAACAACACGTAACATTATATCCATTATTTCAGAGGGGAATGTTAAACAATTTCAAATGATTAATAATATGCATATAGAAAAGTAATTTGTTTTGCTGGTTTCATGTTCTTTTCTTTTTTAGAATTTTTATTTATTTATTTATTTTAAAATCATGGATCAAATTAAAAAATTATTTACGTATTATTGTAAGATCACTTTCATTTCTCCTTATCTGATTGCCATAACTTTACCAGTGCATATTATATATTATTGCACTAGTATCATAAGACTCTGGATTCAAAATACAGTAAACCCTTTAACGTAACAATATCCATAGACCACTTTTAAAGTAACAAACATTTTTGAGAAAATAAATAATCATTAGTGTTCACTTCCACGCCTGTCGAATTAATTTCTACCTTTTCGTTGCCCTGTGTTGGCAACATGCTTTTGAGATTTGTCATTCGTAGGATTCGGTCGCTAAAAGCGTAGCTGGCCTGTAACAGTTATAATTATTATTTTATGCTTATCTGTACTTCTGAATTATTACTAAATGTTTACGTGTGAATGTTATATTATTAAATGTATTCAGTTTGGTTGAAATAGACCGAGAGTGACTGAATTTATTAAGTATAATCAAAGTCGAAACCGCGTCATCCATGTCGGCGCCATTCTAATACAAGGTACGTAAACATCATTTGGAGGCACGCCGATGAGATCATATCAAGAATTCGTCAGCAATTCAAATACAGATAAGTGATGATTTTTTAGTTCGATTTACATCTAAATTTGATTCTTGAAGTTTTATATCTATTTTGTATTGATTTTGATTTTGAACTTGAATACTTCGATTACTTATTATGGATCAAGCTACTGTCATTAGATTGCGTGGTAGGGCAAAAGCGGCCTTCACAAGGCTTCAGAATACTATTCTTCCGATTTATCTAAAAATGAAGTTATTTTGCATCTGGAGCGCTTGGAAAGGATTTATTCAGATTTTGATAAATTTGATGCCCAATTACCAGAAGAACAGTTAGAAATTGAAGAGTTTGAATCGAAGTATTTTGGTTTGAAACTTCAGTATCAAAATTTATTAGATGTATTAAATGCGGCTAATGTGCCAAATGTTACAGGAAATTCTAATATTAGTAACTTTAAGTTACCTAAGTTGAATATTCCTATTTTTTCGGGTAACTTTAATGACTGGATGAATTTTAAAGATTTGTTTGTTGCAACAGTGCATAATACTTCTTTATCGAATATACAGAATTTCAGTATTTAATCGGATCACATGCTGATGAACCAGCTTCTATAATTAAACATATTCCGTTATCAAATAATTCTTATGAAGAAGCATGGGCAAAATTGCTCGCTAGGTACGATAAAAGATAACAAATCGTACAATCGTTAATTAAAACATTTCTGGAATCAAAAATGTATTTCACAGGTTGATAATGTTAATTTGCGGTTACAGGTTTATTAATTACAGGTTGATAATGTTAATTTATTAATTAGCTGATACTTCCGATGAAGTTATCAGAGGTTTAAAAGCTCTTGGTGACAAAGCAACTTCTAGGGATCCATGGTTAATATTTATGTTGCTTCAAAAGGTAGATTCAGAAACTTGAAAGTTATGGGCACAGAAAACAGCGGAAGATGATTTTCCTACATTGGAATCATGTTCCCTCTAAACAGAATCCAGCAGACATTGCTTCTCGTGGTATTGAACCTCAACTCCTACCAAATTGTACTTTGTGGTGGAATGGTCCACCATGGTTGCGTCAGGAAGAGGAAAAATGGCCTGAATATGAATTAAAATCTGAAGATGATGCTGAAGTAAAGGCCGAACAAAGATCTGATCCTATTTTTATTTCTCATATACGTGAATCGAATGATTTATTAGCTAATTTGTTCGAGCATTATTCTTCGTGTTGTAAAATTGTTCGTATTCTGGCTTACTGCCAAAGATTTATTACTAATTGCAAGAAGCATCATGTTACTCAGAACATTTCACGTAGTGGCATTAACTCCAGCTGCCTTATGCCGCTAACATTTCTAGAGATTCGAGTAGAAGAAAATTTCATTATTCGTTGGATTCAGAATCATCATTTCAAAGATGATTTACAATGTATTAAAGAAGAGAAACCTTTACCCAAGAAGAGCCAACTACGTTCTTTGTATCCATTCGTAGATAAAGATTGTCTCTTACGGGTGGGAGGACGTCTTCGAAATTCATCTTTAGCATTTAACATCAAATATCCTGTCATACTTCCTTCTCGACATAAATTTAGCGAATTACTAGTGAAAGAACTTCATATTACTTACCTTCATGCTGGTCCTTCTTTACTATCACACCTCATTAGACAATCTTACTGGATAATTGGAGGAAAGAAACTGATACGCAGTTGTGTCATCCATTGCTTAATATGTCATCGATTTAAAGCTGCTTCAAATTCGCAATTGATGGGTGACTTACCTGAACATCGTGTGACTTTGGAACGACCTTTTTAGGCATCTGGTGTGGATTACGCTGGTCCTATTACCATTAAATTTAATAAGGGTCGTGGCTCTAAAACAACGAAAGGCTATATAGCTCTGTTTGTTTGCTTGTCGACTAAAGCTGTGCATATAGAAGCAGTCAGTGACCTGACGGTAGACTCGTTTATCGCTGCACTTAGACGTTTCATCTCACGTCGCGGTGCACCACGGCACATTTACAGTGACAGCGGTACCAATTTTGTGGGAGCATGCCGAAAACTACAAGAACTAAATCAGATTTGGTCTTCCTTGTATGCAATGGAATCGGTTTCCCGAGAACTAACTAAGTCATCTATTGAATGGCATTTTATACCGCCTGCTTCGCCCCACTTTGGAGGAATATGGGAAGCCGGCATTCGCTCAGCGAAATTTCATCTGAGAAGAGTATTGAAAGAGACTCTTTTAACCTATGAAGAGTTGTCAATGCTACTTACCCAGATCGAGGCTATTTTGAATTCACGTCCACTTACTTATGTGACCGATACTGATATTGACTGTATTAATGTTTTAACCCCTTCTCATTTCATTACAGGTGATACTTTAACTTCCTTTCCAGAGAGCCATCAGAATTTACGCACAAGGAGTTCTAGGTGGGGAACTTGTACAGAATCTACGTCTGGGATTCTGGAAGCGATGGAAAAAAGGAATACTTGACTTCGCTTCAGCAGAGAGCCAAGTGGCAGTACAACAGACCCAATCTAAAAATCGACCACCGTGGTTCTTATCATCGAAGATGGATCTCCACCGCTAGCTTGGCCGATAGGAGGATCATCGATGTCCACCGGGCAAGGACGGCTTGGCTCGCATAGCCACGGTCAAAACTAAAACTGGTGTTTTTCAAAAGAGGAATTAATAAACTTTCACCTTTGCCTGTGTATCAGGACTAAACCTGATAGGGTGGGAGTATGTTCACTTCCACGCCTGTCGAATTAATTTCTACCTTTTCGTTGCCCTTGTTGGCAACATGCTTTTGAGATTTGTCGTTCGTAGGATTCGGTCGCTAAAAGCGTAGCTGGCCTGTAACAGTTATAATTGTTATTTTATGCTTATCTGTACTTCTGAATTATTACTAAATGTTTACGTGTGAATGTTATATTATTAAATGTATTCAGTTTGGTTGAAATAGACCGAGAGTGACTGAATTTATTAAGTATAATCAAAGTCGAAACTGCGTCATCCATGTCGGCGCCATTCTAATACGAGGTACGTAATGCCGACATGGATGACGCAGTTTCTACTTTAAACATACTTAATAAATTCAGTCACTCTCGGTCTATTTCAACCAAACTGAATACATTTAATAAAATAACATTCACACGTAAACATTTAGTAATAATTCAGGAGTACAGATAAGCATAAAATAAGAATTATAACTGTTACAGGCCAGCTACGCTTTTAGCGACCGAATCCTACGAACGACAAATCTCAAAAGCATGTTGCCAAAGCAGGGCAACGAAAAGGTAGAAATTAATTCGACAGGCGTGGAAGTAAACAATTAGTGTTAAAGTTCACCTCTCTGAAATGACCACCCACATCAAATGAAAACCAAAATCATCTGGAATCATGAGTGGTCATTTGAGAGAAGATTATAATTTCCTTACATATCTAATTTCCTTTGGAGAAAACTACTACATACCACTATAATTATCCTTTAACCCTTAATGCTCCATTGGCTCCGCTATGGAGCCGTCCGTCATTTGTTCCGTAACTCCTTAGGCTCCGCTGCAGAGCTGTCTGTCATTTGTTCCGTAACTCCTTAGGCTCCGCTGCAGAGCCCAATATTTTTAGCATGATTAGGCTTAAGATGTTACAGAATCGTCGGCGTTGGCATTTGTTATCTGCAGTTAAAACGTGCTCAGTCTCGCTACTGTTACGATTGAAACATTATTTGACCTATTTTATGGCTAGCAACATGGAGAAAAATAATTATTGTGATGAGAATATAGAGTGATAGTGAAGATGTGTTTAATTTTTCATTGTTAGAAGATATTGTGGAAGACAATGTTGATTATAATTCTGATACTTCAAGTAGTGGTTCCGAAATTATACTACCAAAGGGACGATGACAAATGGTAGTTAATTGAAAGTGAAAAGTGAAAGAGTCGCCGGAAAGACTTAGAATGAATGGCGCAATGTCACAGAAGAATTAGATATTCCAGATAGAATACATTTTAGTGTATCATCAAATGTCATTGGACCCACAAATTCCTACAAATATTGTACAGCCGACACAATATTTCAAATTATTTTTCACAAACGAACTGGTAAATGAAATTATAAAAGAAACCAACAATGACGCAGAAAATGTTTCTTTATTCTTACAATGAAAAATTGTAAGAATAAAGAAATATCTAGTAATTCTATTTCAAAAACGTGGCGTGTGGTGGAAGAGGATGAGTTTTGGGCTTTTATTGGAGTTATTATCAATATGGGTACGATACCCCTGGCGAATATGCAGGATTATTGGTCAGTTAAGGAGAATTGTCACATCCCTTTGTTTGGTAAAATATTTACAAGAAAGAGATTTATACAGATATTCTGGATGCTGCATTCACTGCGAAAATGTGCCTGAGAACACTGTGAATGTGAAAACACTGTGAAATGTGAGTTGCTGGTAGGCAGTGGTACAAAATCATGCAGAGTGCTAAGGGTTAATAATTTCCTAGAACCTAACAATATAATACTGAAAAGGAATAAGAAGAAAGCTTGGAGATAAGAATCTGTATCGTGAATACCAGATGTTTCAAAAACACTTTCATTTGTAAACATAACCTATTGTGATCACAGAAAAAAATAAAGCTGTTACACATTATATTCTATACTTTTATTAATAAATAGTTGTAGTTGATAGCAGTTAATAGTTATGATGCTGATATATATAAAGAGAGAGAGAAAGAAAAAGAAGAGAAACATGCCAAAGTAAAATGCAAAATTAGGCAAAGCAACAACCTTGTGCTTGTCACAGATTTATATACAGATATTAATACAACTAAAATATGATTAGAAATAAATTTCAGACATATTAAACATTGAACATACATAAATTCATCTTTTGGGTAATGAATTGATTAATTACAGCAAATTTACTAAATAAGTCTTACTTTATAAATTGAACATAATACTTCTAAACATATTCTGGAAAAACAGACTGCAATTTTTTTCTGATATGTCTTCTTAGATATTACTGATGGCATACTAAATAAAAGTCTTCATCAAACAAGAACTATTCTTAGTTCAAATTAGTATAATTTTGATATTCATTTTCATGGTGCGGTCCCATATTACAATTTACATTTTTTAATATAACTTATTATATCTAATACTAGATTATAATTTACATACTGCTAGAGAATTAATTTTTTTAAATTTCCAGTTGGCTTCATTTTGTTCAGTAAGCTAAATATTGTTTCAAAGATGTGAATTACACTGAATAGGTTTCACGTATATAAAAAAGGTAAAAGGAAATTTAAACAGAAATTCATAGTTATCACTTTAATAAAAATAAATTTTACTGCCTCAAAATTTATTATAAAAAAATCCCCCAAAAAAGAAATGCCATCTTCTGTAGTGAACTACAAAATTACTGAAATAAAATGAGTAATTATTCACTGGAACTCAGAGTTTAATACTGCACTTCAAATTATTCCACTACTAACCACTCTCTCACATATATGAATACAACTTCTAACAAATATCATATTATAGAAAAGAAATTTAAAAGAAATGTTTTAAAAAGACACAGTGCTTACCAACTCAATTTTAGAATCTTCAAGATATAACGGTATTGAAGAAAAGGAATGCACATCTATTTTTAATATAAATGGCTCTTCTGTTCGAATATTCTGCTGTTCTTCAAACTGAGAAGGAGAAAAAGCATTTATTATTTGACAAAATACACAATAAGACTTTTGTGAATTATAAATATACAATAATACTAGTAATAGAATAACTAAAATACAAAGTAAACATTTAAGTGAATCTTAATTGAGTCTTTTCCATTAAATCCATATCATGCATTTTTGGTGTCATACTACCACATTTTAGTTTATTTTTTTCCTCCATGCCTTTTGCATGATACAATATGACATGCAATGATCAGAAATAGCAACAAGGAAATAGTCTCTAATTTCACATCTTCGTGCTAAAACTCAATGTATGTGTGGGAAGAGGAAACACAGGTCCTATGCTTTTCTTTTTGTGAATATGCTTTCAACAATTTCTGCAATTTTGCAGTATCTATCAGTTTTGACATTAAGATGAGATAATGAGAAATTGAAATGTACCTCTTTTTTGTAATTATACCAATCACTGCATGGTGTAATTCATTTGAAGCAATTTTTGAAAAACTCAACAGATGTTAACTCCTGGCATGATAAGTAAACAATCTGCTTGGCAGTAATGAAAGAAATGCTTGCTCCAACAAACTACATTTATGTTCACAGAACTGTTCCTTTCTTGCATAAGGTTGCACAGTAATTTCAGCTCTGAGTCATATTTTAATATCATGAGCTGGTTACTTGAATATAATCATTCTTTGTGAAGAATAATGCATTATTGAGGAAACAGAATTGCCACTTCTTCATCATCTCTTGAGCCTTCCTAAGCCAAAAAAACCACTTCAGCAAAGAATCCATCTATCCATGTAAGAAGTCAAACCAAATTTGCAATTCCTTTTCCCAAGGAAAAACCATAAAAAAGAGAAGAAAGCCACTAAGTGGTATGGCTTTAATGGAAAAATAACCTCAAATAAATGTCACACAGTTTAAGACAAGTTTTATACATACTTTCATGTTTAAGATTTTGACCATAAATTCAAAAGGTTCTATAGATGAAACTTCCAGATCTTGAGTTTTCTTGCAGCAACAACATAAAAGCTGATCATCTATTTCTATGTTAATATTATATGTTACCTGAAAATAAAGTAGAAAAGAAGAGATATCAAAATTTAGACTGCAAATTCCTTGATTATCAAATATAAGATAGATATAAAACTTTAAAAAAATTATACATTCAATTAAATAAATAAAGTTAAAAAGAATGAATTTGCTTTCAACATGAAAAGCAACATATATATTTAACACTCATACAAAATACTTACTTCAAAAACTATTTTTCGCACAGCCACTTCAGCAGCCTTCAGGTAAATAACCTTCTGAGTCTAAATACAATACAAAATGGGCCAATTTAAATTGCACTTAAAAAAAAAACTTTTTTGTTCTGATTTTTAATGCTCAGCTCAAAAATACATTTAAATTAAAAAAGGCAGCTCAACAATAAATAATTTTAATAATGATCATAAACAAACATACTTTTGTTTAAATATTTTATTTAAAAAATATTTTTAGTACACACAAGATAGTATGAAAAATTAAGGCATACAGGTTTTTCTGCAGCAAATGTACAAATGTTTTATATTCATATAAAGATATACAGAACTAATAACCGCATGGTACAATTAAATTCTAAATGTTTCAAATACTATTACAACAACAACAAAAAAGATCGGAGGAAGCCCCCACCAAAAAAATCTGAATGGTTCCAGATTTTAAATTACGTCCATTTTTGTGTGTTACCTTTATTTATTAAATATCCTGTTCTTTGCACTTAAACCATAAAATTCAGTTCAGAAGCAATGTTGCAAAATAATTTTAAAATGGGAATATCTTTAGAATTTTCGATACACGGTTCCGCACCCGCTGGAGATAAAAGGTCTCCACCTCCCACCATAGAGTGTTGCCATTGCTCGCTTTTAAATCATTGAGTTTGTTACTCAAAAATTCGTTAAAGTTTTACAAAATATGAAATCGATAATAAAACAAATTCCAAATTTCAAATTTGGTCTTTCACATGCCCATATTCGTGGGAGAATTATGTCATTCAAAATTCAATGGTTCTATGTACCGTTGTTTATCACAATGCGAGAAATAGACATACATTTATGCAGATCTTTCATTATTTAGAAGTAAAATGCATACATATGAAAGAAATAATATAACAGAAAAAGTATGTTGAATTTACACTATTTGTAAATAATAGCCAAACTATCATTTATATATATAATTATGCAGTATTAATAATATATAATTATATACAGAATTAATAAAGAAGTTCAAAAAACACATTGGCGTAGTTTACATCAGACTAAAGCAGGGTGAGCAAATACTTTCAACCCTGGGCCAAAAAGGTCATTTTTGTGTATTTTGTAGGTCGGTGCTTTGCATGGTGTGCTGATGCTTGTGCAACTATCTTTTGTAGTGTTCCTATTGTTTGCTTGGCCCTGATGGCGAGAAAGGAGAACATTCCTATCCAGTATAAATAATAATTACAATTTAAAATAGCTTAAAAGGTTTTTTAAGCACTTAATATCATATTTTTTTATTTTTAATAAGCCCTAGACAGTGAGCATAGAGTCACAAGGGTGCTGCATGAGGGTCAACCAATGAAATATAAAATATGCACATAAATTTCAAGGAATATAAATAAAAGCAAAAAAAAAAAAGGACATTTACGATTAATCAAACATTTTTATAAATTTATAGCTCTGCACACATTTTTATTTTTATTACAAATACTTTGTTTTAAAAAAAATTATTCATTAATATATACTTAATGTGAGACATAAAATCTTGTATGCTTGCAGTTATATCTAAATTAGGTTCCAACTCACTTGTAGCAATCCTTAATATCTAAAGTTAATTTTCATCAATAATTTGTGATTGCTATTTATTTTTCATATACTTCATTAATGAAGAAGTTCTCTTCCATATATATGTTGATCTAAAAACTGAATATTTTTATATGGAAAGAATTTTTCCAGAAAATGTTAAAATTTAATTGAATTTAGAGAACCATAAAAATCATTAATTCACTTGAATGAAAGTTTTCTTTTAATAAATCATCTGATTGCAAATCAATCAGCACTAACTGAATACAAACTGGAGCACCCTAAACATTAAAATTAAATGGTATGCTTATTTAATGATAAATCTTTTTCAATTTTTTTAGTCTTCAAATGATCTCTTCCTAATGGTCATCAAATGACTGACATGTATACTGCTTCATTTTTAAATAATCAGTCTTTTTATCTTGACAATATTTATATTTCATTGTTCAGTTTCTAAATTAAAGCTGCTGGAAATGATAAAACTATATTTCCAGCACATGATAAAACTATATTTCCAGCACATGATGAAACTATATTTCCAGCACATGCTTTATGGAGCACTAAAGCTCCATAAGGCACATGCTTTCTAGCATATCTAATATTCTCAGACTGACCATTAGTACAGTCATGTGTATACATTATATGCACATAATACAGGTCTTGTGTATGCGCATATACATTATAGCAATAGACATGCACTCATGCTGTTGATTTTAGTAGCCTGTGTGAAACATTGGGTAAGGCAGACATGAAATTCTATTAAGCAGGATTTCATAATAGGCCAGATTATGCAATTAAAAGGGCTTCCTTTGGCCCACATGCCGACTTTTGTCCATTCTTGGTATTAAAGGAATACTATACTAACATGATACAGTATTATTAAATACAAAGACAGTAATTTTTAAGATGTAATTTCATTCCTTTAATTTTTTTTAAGTCTGTCATCATTTTCATGATAACTCAGTGGGCAGCTGCCAAAAAGTTAAATCCTCTTTAAATTTTTCTTGAGAGTTTTCAATAAATATAATCTACTTTATTCCAGCTATTATTAATTTATTTATCATTTAAATATTTTATAATTCAAAACAACTGACTCTCTAATTAAAAGAAACAATGTATTTAAATATCCATAAATTATGAAAAAATTAAAATTTTAGAGAGATATTGAAGGAGATTATTGAAATAAATGTATAATCCTAAAATCAATAGAATTCTTAAGTAAGATTTCATTTGAATAAATTTTTAGGTTTATATTAAAACTGCAGTTAAAGTTAGCTTAAAATATAAACTTAATTCTCCAAGTTTGCATTTTAAACTTCTTCAAACAAAACTGCAATAAAGAAATCTCTGATTCTACACAAAAAGCACTGTATGCAAAATTAATTCCCATCAACATCATTACAGGATATACTAAGCTGAACAATTTACCTAAATGACAATTACCCAAGTTTCAAGAAAAATATTAAACAGAATCAAAATAAAGAGCACTTTGCTGATGAATTTAACCTGTTCTTAATATATAAATATTTTAACAATGACGCAGTAAAGAAATTTAATATGTTTTCTATTATGTTTTGCATAAAAGAATCTTGAAAAGATAAAAATTTATATTAGTTATAAAATTATATACTATTTGCCATAATCAAAAAGAAAGAATAATAGATTTAAATACTTTAAATAATTTTTAAAAATATACTTAAAGTTAAACAATGTACTTAAAGATATGTTAAAAAATATATTTTTGTAAAACTTCCAGATTTAAAATTCCGGATAGTTTCCAAAAAACATACCTGCTCCCCAGGAGCAATTTCTCCAAGCGAAACATAAGGCAAATGCTGAACAAATTGTTGTGGTTGTTCTGGAACTTCAGAAAGATGAGCTTAAAATAAAAACATTGCATAAGCTTAATATAAAATTTTACATGAAAAGTTATTTAAGAATAAAAATAACTATAAAGTAAATCATGTATAATAAATATCATAATCATGCACTCATTTTAAAATATTTCTTTTCTGAACATGATCTCCAACATAATTACACATCTCTGATCTAATGCAACAAAAAAGCTGACTCAAGAACACCTAAGCCTTAGATTATAAACTAGTGTATGCATCTATTGCTTACTACAAAATTTCCTAATTTAACCTTTTATTATTTTAAATAAGATATTTCATAGTACTTTTCTGTTATTGGGACTGGATTCAGAAATGTAGTGTTAAATTCTATGGGTTCGTGGATTTGGATTGATTGATGACAACACTTGACGAAGAATCAAAAACAACTTATTTGCCAGTATTACTCAAGACAGTTCAAAAAACATGTTTACAATCTGCGAAAAACTATGACAAGCACACTGAAACAATCAGCAACACAGCCTTTATGCTATCAGGTTGTAACAGTGAAGACAGCTTCACGGCAAAACAATAAATACAGCTTCCAGCTCGGTCGATCGCTCTCAGAACTCAACACACTCAAAATACTCTTCACGATAAACTCTCGATATACTCAATGATACATTGCTACTCTGCATACAGGTAGAGTTTATATAGCTTTTGGTATGCCTTCGAGAACATTCTTGGCCAAAATGGTAAGAATTCATTCTAGAATGTTTTCCATCCATCTATGGCATATCGGCAATTTTGTCACCAAATGGGTGGTTTCGCACCCAAATCTGGCAACCCTAAACCTGCTTTGTGGGGAAGCTATCTTACCCCAACTGGACATCTTGTAATCGTATGTATGTATGTACTTGTGTAAAAAGTAATAAGACTTAATACATACACACATATATATAGATAAACACATGCATGTACATATGTGCGTGTATACTACGCACGCACATACATTTCTGAATCCTGTCCTGATAACAAGAAAAGTACCTAAACTAAACTGAAACCTTTAAAAATAAAGCAATATAGAGTAAACATAAAAGACATAAAACAAATAAACATAAAAGGAAAACACATAAATAAAGATCTAGAGTTATAGTAATATCTAGTATTATAGAAATAAAAATTAAATCTAGTATTATAGAAATAAAAATTATGTCTCAAACAGTAGACTTTAAAATAAATGAATGTCCTTATCTTTCTAATTAAAAAATACATTTAAAATTTAATTTAATGCTTCAGAATTGAACTCACTAATGAGAAGTGAACATCAAACCATATCACGTATTTTATTTTTGAAACCATATCACGTATTTTATTTTTGAAACCATATCACGTATTTTCACGTATTTAAAAGTATATGAAAAGTCCATTTCTAAATAACCTATAAGTGCACTATTCCTGTAAGAGCAACTGTTCCTACAAGGGCAATAAAGTATGAATTAGCCTCATACCATGGTCATTTGATTAACGACCCCAGTCTTAAAGGGTTAAATAAGGGTGACTCCCAAATATGTGTAATTCAAAGTTGATTTAAGTCCCAATAACAGAAAAGTACTATGAAATATCTTATTTAAAATAATAAAAGGTTAAATTAGGAAATTTTGTAGTAAGCAATAGATGCACATATTGGTTTATAATCTAAGGCTCAGAGGTTCTTGAGTCAGCTTTCACTATTAAGTGACTCCCAGATATGTGTAAAATAGTATATTCACTTTTATATTTCACCCCATTATGTATTATTCCCACACATGAGGTTTTCTAACATATGATTTATAAATTTCCAATTTATGGTAACAATATAAAATCGAAAGTATACTGTGTAACTAAAAAGAATACTAGTAAAACTAATAATTTCTTTGAAATATAAAATAGAATAATGTGTTCTTTAAGGTGTGAAACCTGAGCCTTCCCTTTAAAAAATGAAGTGTATAATTTTCCACTGTCAATTTTCAAGAAGTAAAACTGTTTTAAAAAAAAAAAAAAAAAAAAAAAAAAAGGTGGGGAAGAGATTATGTGAGTAAATATGATTAAATATAGTTAATATACACTTTAATTTTTCCCTTTTGATTGTTTAGTACAGTTCAAAGTCCGAAATCCAGACTTGTCAGAACTTCGGTGATGCTGGATTTGGGATTTTTCCAGATATTAGATCATCAGTTTATTATAATGAAATGATGAAGTATTTATGATCTAAAGGGTATCAAAATTTACACAAAAAAGCTTAATATTTATTTATTTACCTTATTAAACATTTCTTTCAATTTAAATTGTTTATGTTGCTTTCTTTTTTGTGCTAATACTTTAATTCTGTAGACAGACATAATCTCTTGCTCAGTCACATTGTTGAAGTCCTGTAACTGCTGTGTCGAGAATTCCAACTAACTTGTCAATCGAAATTTTCTCATTTTCAGTAACTCTGCCACTTTCTTCACTACCAGTAGTGGTATTTTCTGGATCTAGAACCATACTACAGATTTTGCCATTCGTTAACTGATTGATGATTGAGAAGCATTTTTATCACAATGAAAAACTTCTTTCATATCATCTTCATTCATTACCACTTTTCCACATTCTTTACAAAATCTGTTAATTGGAAAATTTCACCTTTGTTTTGCGATATCCAAAAACCTTTAAAATTTGTGGCTATCGTCATCAAATTTAGCTATCGTTCATTATACATATTTGGCTATGCATCATGAGCTTGGTGATTACTGACAAGTTGTTCCATTAAATTTTATCTTGCTTCTATCGGGCCCTGAGACAATTAAGCCTGAATTGTATTAGTTTAGTTATTTATTATACTTATGTCTATTTCATGCATAAGATCAGAGTTCTGAATAAATTCCCGCATATACTTAAACCTTATTGAGGGCAGGCACTAGATATCTTACCACCTGATGCAGTCTCTGTGGGTCCTAAATTTTCGACCCGGTGTGGCCATGTGATTCCTGGAACTGGTGTTTATGTGAATAAAAAATCAGTTATTCTTAATTCAAATAGTCCTAAATGTAAATTTTGGTTCTATGAGTATCATCAACAAAATCTATTTTTAGCATATGGAAAGAAATTTTTCCCTTGTCAAAATTTTTTAGTGCATTTAACTTAAATCTGTAATCATCGCCAAAGCGTAATGTTAATGTAAAAGTTTACCATACTCCTTTATTATTCAATCACTAACACAAAAAAATTGTTCAGGCATCGCTATACGAGTCATTACTCAAGCTGTCATGTGTTGATAAACATGGAATGATGAAGGGAAAGTATAATAAATAATGATTCGTCAGGTTGGCATCAGATCAACGATGTATCTATGTGGAATGTTTCAGTTGAGATGTGTGCCAGCAGATATGCAGCAATGGAGTCAAATTACTGATCATACAAGTTTATGCTAAAATGATTGTTTCTTCTATAACAAGGTATTTTATTTAATGCCAAAGTGAAATTAAGAATCAGGTCTCTCCAGCTGTTTTATTAGGCATGGAGGGGGGAATCAAATGTGCATGCGTAAAGCCTCTGAGAAAACTGTTGTTTGCAGTTTTGAGGTCTGGATTTTAGATCAGTCCGGATACTGTCCGGATTTCGAACTTTGTACTGTAGTAACTAAGTCAGCCTTCTATATGTTATATTTAGTAATTTGACCATTTTAGTGCCGATTGTATTTGGATATTTTTATTAATTTTTATCACTTCTTGATAGAAATCATCAGCTTCTGTGTTTTACTTTTGAAAATGAAGTATTTTCAATTTATTTTGAGTAAGAGTTGAAGTTAAGAAAAATACCATATAGAACCATCAAATAATAGTACAACTTTAAATCTATTAACAATAAATATAATTAATGAAATTGTATATTGATTCCACCTGGTGAAAGCAAAATAATAATAATAAGGTGGCATTATTATACATTATTAATCGAATGCAGAACCCAAAGATAATTTTTCCATTAATAACACATACTTTGCATAAACAACATCGAAGAAAATGTCTAAAGAATTTGCTCAAAAAATTTCGAATCTGATTCTCCAGATTCTTGTTCAAGCAGGCAGAAAATCATACAAATGTTCAGTCATTTTTAAAATAAAAACAATATTAACAATTGTCACTTTATAAAAACTTTAAATTTCATAATAGTCTTTATCTCTTATTTAAACTGAAAAAAAAAAAAAAAAAAAAACAAATGTCTGCGACTACACAGCATTCGACTAACTGGAAAGCTCAAGTAACTAGAATTTTTTTTTAATTTTAAAAACTTTTAAAAATTAAATTAAGCAAATAAAAAAGTTCTAACTCAGTTATAAAGCATGAATAGTACTATGATTCAAATCAAACGAATACTGTTGCTGAACAATGCGATTTAGCACTAATAAGACGTAAGTCTCTGGCTTTATGTGAACCTGATTAATTCTTAATAAGTTGCTTTAATTTTTGCAGGAAGGGATGTAAGTTAACTGCTGTTTTTCTGTTTTTCAATTGCATTAAAAAAAAAAAAATAAAAGAAGAAGAAGAAATTTGGAACTTGTCTTCAACAGAACAGCATGCAGTAGAATATTTTAGATTTATGGTATGTTGGCATCAAAAAAAATCTTACTTATAGGCAAACTGATAAACACTGACTGTGTAATATGCAAAAATTATGACAAGCGATTTAAGATTTTATATATTACATCTGTAACTTGTATATGTTGATCAACTAAATAAAGAGCTTATCCCTTCAAACTTCTGCCAAAATGACTAGCACAAGTTTCGTGAGATCACCACTGTCATGGTTGATGGAATTTCAGAATCGAATATTATGTTTTACTTCCCAATTTATATCTAGATTGCCCTTTTTCTTCCACATAATGTAAACGTAGGCAATTGATACTCAAGCTGGTAAAAATAAAATGATATTTTTTATACAGTACAAAGTCCGTAATCTAGACTCATCCGAACTACGCCGATTACGGATTAGGGGCTTTTCCTGATTATAGATCATCAATTTAAATCTGGTAAGATGGCATGCAGAAATTATATAATTAAAAATATGAAATTGTAATTTATGAAATAAAGAGCAATTATGATCTAAATGGTATCAAAATTTACAAAAAAAAAATAAAGCTTAATATTTATTTGTTTACTTTATTAAACATTTCTTTCAATGTAAGTTGTTCAAGATGCTTCCACAAAAAATTCAAAAAGTTCCTTTTTCTTTTTGCTTATGTTACATACAGTTGACTTTCCAATGTCATACTCCTCACATAATTTCGAGACAGATAAGACTTTATCCATTTTTTGCAGCAATTCCACTTTTTGTTTGATGGACATCGAAACATACTTTCTATTTGTAGATCCTTTGACAAGCTCCAGAATTGGAAACTCTTTTTGACATAATCAAAAGTTCAAGCTTAATTTTTATAAAATTATTCTAACAATCTGCAAAAAATAATAAGCCGGATCCAATTAGAAGATTAAGGAACAGCGCAATCTGCAACATTAACTGAAATGCCTTAGAATCAGTAAAGATAATTTTTAGCCTAGCTTATACTGTCCATTATACATTAAACGTGCAAGCATAAACACATTACACGCATGCGTAAAGCATAGAAAAAAAAAAGTTTGTGGCTTTGAGGTCTGGATTAAAGATCATTCCGAATAATGGACGTCTGAATTACGGACTTTGTACTGTAATTTTAAACCAGTATTCTCCCCCCCTACTCATCCATTCTACTGTGACTTGCATATTTTATGCAATTTTCAGAATTTTTCCATATCCAGAATTCAGCTTTTCCCAAGCTTTCTGGATAGTCGAGTTTTTTCTGCATATGTTTTGACATACTTTTGTTATCGCGATTAATTACCCTTAATGCAGACTACAGAATAATATGACTTAGGATAACATGAGACTAAAACAGCAGGAGAGTTAAAAATTCATACAGAAGGTTCACAAGATATAACATTAGTTTTCTTTTAAATTTATAACATAAATGCTCATTAAAAAATAAATAAAATTAAAGCTTCAAAAAATGTAACTTACTACTTTCATGAACAAACTGTTCCTGCCCTTCATTCAGATAAACACTGAGCATGACATTATCAATTTTGTTTATTTCATCATTCACAATGGTAAGTGAGAAAACATAAAACTCATTAATCAGAACCGGTGGTTGATGATCAATGTTGATACTAATTTGAGCACTTCTTGGCAAAATCCTGTTAAAAAAAAAAAAAAAAAAGAATTAGATTTTAATATACATGCATATTACATGCAAAACAGAAATCATAATTTTGAAAATTAGTTTATAAGCATATATTTTAGAAACAGAAAGATATAATACATGCAATTAAACTTATTTTAAATACATTTCTAGTTTTAAATTTTTAACAAAATATTAAGTTTTTAATGTACAATATTTTTTAAAAATATCTCACTTTTATGCAAAATTGTTTCTAAATAAAAATATAGTTATTGTGTTTTTGTAACTGCATTAAATTCAAAACAAATCTGTAGCTAAACTTTAAAAAAAAAAAATGATGTACCATATAATCCTGGCATATAATGCGCACAAAATAAGACTGAAATTTATAAGTGTACGTTATACATCAGGTATAAAAATGACAGATTTAGAAATAAGGAAAAGACAAGCATACAAAAAAAAAAAAAAAAAAAAAAAAAGATTCACATGCAGCTAAATGCTGCTCATTTAAAAGAAATGACATACCTAGAGAACTTAATTTTCATTATGAAAACAGTTTTGTTTTATGTACACTATTGGATATACTACATTTTTAAAATGACTTTGGAATTATATCAGGTTTAATTTCATTCCCTGCTTTTATTATCCCCTCGCACATTATTTCTTAACTGGCATAAAGTATTTGCCCTCCTAACATCCACATACTCAACTGTCATTTCAAATTTTCTTTGAACGATTTATTGAAACACATATCTAAAAGATGAATGAATGGCATTAATCCACTTGGAATAATTGCCATTTACGTGTCAGACACTTCCATCAAATTCATTGCATGGGATCTGAACATGTCCCAAATTATAACTTTCTGGATTCTTTAAGACGACAGGACGCTTTTATATATTTATATAGATGTATAGCCGACATTTTAACTTAGGATTACTTGCATACACTTTAAACAGTTTTATCATTGTGTCCATTTCTTTACACAATTTTATCCTACATTTGGTTTCTTAAAATGCTATTCATATTTTAGTCAAATATTTTATTTTTGAAATCGCAAAAATCAAATATATCATAGGATTAAAAAGTTTTAAATTAAAAAAAATACAAATACTAAATATTACGCAATTTTTTTTTTTTTTTTCTCTTTTTTTTCAGGCATTCTGCTTTATTCTTTCTCTTTTCCTTTAGGCATTCTGCAAGTGTATTAAAAAGCATCCAACTTTTCGAAATATCTTGGTATTTCTGACAATCATTTTAAATAAAGTTATCGCCTTCCATTTCATAAAGGCCCACAAACGACCGAGCGGTAAAGTCACTGAACACTGGTAGTTCACTCCGGGGTTCGAATCTCGGTAAACAGGCTGGTTGCATGGGCGTTTTCGTGGATTTTCTCATGTGTACCGTGTATGACAGCTGGTTTCCCTTAGAAAGTTCTTCACGAAGTATTTTGTTAGAGCCTTTATCAGTCTTTAAGAGGCTAAAACATTCTGAAGGTATGAGATGAAAGGAAAGACTGGTTTTATCAAGAGGTTTTGGTTTATTTAATTATGACATAGCACACTAGGGCTATCTGCCTAAGGGAAGGAATGCCTTTGTAGATGACTTTCTAAGGGAAACTGGCTCGTATACACGTTACACATGGGAAACCACGAAAACGTCCATGCAGCCAGCTTGTTCGCGGGATTCGAACCTCGGACCGAACTACCAGTGTTCAGGGACTTTACCGCTCAGCCGCTGTTTCATCAGGAGGGGAAAAAAATGCCTTTAGGTGACATTCACATACAATACTGGATAAACTCTTGAATCTTCAAATAATTCAACTGAGAAAATCATGGGATTCTCCTGTTTATGATACGATATGATTGTTCTATAACGTAATTTAAATTTATACAACCATATAGTCTAAAACCAGTTCACTCTTCACTTTAATCTGCAATGATATCGTTTTTGTCTTTTCTGTTAACAACAAGCTCAATTGATGGTATTTGCTGGTGTACACGTCCAAGTGTTTTCTCTTTGAACGCCTAAATTCTTTGAAGTATCCTGAAAGTATATTCAAAAGCGTCCAACTTTTTGAAACATCTTGGTATGTCTGACAGCCAAATTTTCCCTGAAAACTTTTTGCTTACTTTTCTCCCTAATTTTCTTCTTTCCTTCTACAGTTATTTTCAGTGCTCACACAATAAAATTAAGATTTTTTGATTGCTAGACTTCTATAAATTTTGCATTCTTGTCAATTTTTTAAAATATGAATTGCATTTCAGCTGAAGACAGCTTTTTATTTTCTAGTCATTGTTACTATAAATAAAGTTTAAAGCAAAGTCCAAAGGATAAATATTTTAATTAAAAGATTTTTGCTAAATGACAAGGAAATAAAACAGTCCAGCAGGGTTTATTCTGTACCACTGAGTGAGCCGATTCTTATATCGGCTGAAACAATCTAAATCATATTAAAGATCATGTTTTATATACAATCTATAACGCGAGAGAAAAATTAGCTTCTTAAAACATTCTTTCTAAGAGGATTAATATAAAACATTATATTTATATATATTTTTTAAAGCTGGGACTTGAACCAAACTGTCAAACTTTTAAAGTTTTTAAAACTTTTAAACTTTAAAACTTTTAAAGAAAAATATTTGCATTCAGACAGAAAGTTTTTTGAAATATTTGCAATTACTTTATAAGAAGGATTAATAACTGTAATAATTACTTATTATATTACTGATGATTAGGATTCAGTTCTTGACAATTACATTTGAAATTAGAATTTTAAGGATATAATGAAAATACGCTACGCACAAAAATACATTTTAGGATAAAAAGTGAGTGGATTTTTTATGTTTTAAAACTTCTTGAATTCATTTAATAAACATCGTACCCTCGTTGTTAATTGAATCCAGAATGTTGGGTGTCGTTTATATAATTATTCTCACTTGTCCACAGAATCTGCTGACTTATCCAGCCATTAAGTAGCTGCAGATCATTTCTACACAACCACCGAACTTCCATTAATTCAGTCTCTAGAGGGTTGTATGTTTATATCATAATTTGACTTTTATAAAAATGATTATTCTAAATCTTATGTTTCTATAAAAATATACTGTGCTTTAAAAATATGGATGATAGTATCAGCCATTCTTTCAGATACTTCAAAAGCAACAGTTTGTTTAGAAATAAATTATGCAGTTAATGTCATAAAATTCAAATAAACATCAAACGAAAGTTCTCAGTTTTAGACAATTCGATTTAAATGAAGTAAATGACGATAAAACGCTGAGGGTAAAAATTTACTCTTATATATATATATAAAATTAAAAAAAAAAAAAAAAAGATAGAGAGAAATTAAAAAATAGTTAAAAATTTGAATAATATCATCCATAATTTTAAAAAATAGCCTTTCATATAGTATTAATAAATACTTTTTATGCATCATTGAGGGAAAAAATGTCATATAATTAATTCTCCGAAAAATTTTACTTGAAATTTAAGGTTAAAAATAGCTGTGGCAATTCAGTGTAACAAAAACCCATAGCCCACATTTGGCGTTATTATCGCTCAAAAAAAAGATGCCAAATTTCAAAACACGAAAATATGTAAATTCGTGTATATCTTAGAAAATTTTTAATAAAAAAATCTAATTTTTTGCAGATATGCTTAAAAATACACCTACTTTAAGATGATGGTAAAAATTTTATAGGTTATGATTCAAAATTTTTTTCTGAAAAATTTATAAAAATTATTTAAAAATAGAAATTTAAAAAAAAATAAAACACAAAAAATGGGTAAATTTTATTTGGAATGAACCTAAATTTCGAAATGTGAGAGAAAAAGTCAAAAAAGTTTAATAAAAAAAGAGATATTAATAAATATTTGCCAAATTCAATTAACATTGAGGAGCTAAAATTTTGAGAGCTAATATTTTAAAAACTACTCATACGATTTTTACAAAACTTGGTATTCTGGCATAATTTGAGTCATAGAATCGAAATATGGAAAAAAATTGATATGTTATTTCAGAAAAAGTTCGATTTTGTGTCAAAATACCTACGTTAGAATAGTGCTATATATAAATCTAATATATATCCTAAGTCGCGCTTTCGAGACATGAAAACGCAGTTTGAATTTTGTCAATCGGCCCAGTAGAATGGAAGATATAGTACTGTCCCTTTTTTTTTTTTTTTTTTTGAGCAGTGTACATTAGTTTGCCCAACAGTAAGATGAACACAATAAATCAAAGGATGAATATTAATATATATTGCCAAAGAAATATAGAGTTCAGAAATGGTGGTGCATAGAAAAAAAAATTCTTTTTCCTCCTTAACTTATAGTAGTACACCAAAGCTGACTAGCTCTTATTATAGTAATGAAGGTTAGTTGTCCTTGAGAGATGCGCTGCCAAAAACATGAATTTTTTAAACTGTTCTTATGAAATGAAGAATTAGATTCAAAGCCAAAAGAGGTAATCCCAAACTAGACTTGTGTTGCATTAACAAAGTCAAAACAAACAATAAGGAGTTAGCATGTATGTAGACTAGGCATGTATCACTAACGCACGTAAAGTTAGCCAGTTTCATTCTCACTACAGCCACAGTGATTGATTTCATATATCAATCTATGTAATTTTGAAAAACTTTCATTTGTATGGGACAAGCATAAAAATAACTTAAGAAGAGAGCAGTGATAATAACAGAGATGTTTTATGTCTCATAAGATAATAGAAGGGATGTAATTTTGTTTTCCCAATAAGATACAGTGCTTTTCAATATGCGGATAATGTATCTCAAATTGCAAATAATCCTTTGGTCAATTTCAGCACCTTTTGATTAGGTGTTGTAAAGTAATACTAGCTGTTTCAAATGAAATATATCATATCCAAGAAAAACAATCCATGGAAAATATATCATCAAGTCTCTATTGCTATTAATTCTGACATTTCCCAAGTATATGTCATACAAATTTTTTTAAAGTTTGTTAAAAGCATGGTAAAATGCACAAAATCACTTAGAAATGTGAATGTTGTTTAATGGTTTTACGTGCTCCAGAGTGCTTAAAAATATACTGAAATTTACTATTATATACAAACTCTCCAATTAAAATAAGGTTCATTAATATATATAACTAGTGTTTATTTGCTAAATAGTTGTACTTTATTTTTTGAAAATTAATTTATTAATATATCATAATTTTCATTTGCCCCCTTTAATATCAAATCTAATCCAGCTTTTATATTTGTCTCTTGAATTATTTCTACTCTACCACATCTTAATATTGCAAAATAATAATAACAATGTATTTTGTCTATAAAGTATACAAAACGGCTGGTGAATAAAGTTATTAAAGTGAAGATGAATCTTTATGAAATTTTTTTAAATATTTTATTACAGAATGGCATTCATCTGTTTTGCATCACTGCATTAAAGTTTTCAATCATTTAATGAATTTTTATGGTAATTTTACTCTTATTTATTGAGAATTAAGTATTATCTTCAATTTGCAGCCTCTTTTTATATTTAGATGTATTTAATTACTTTATTAATTTCATAATGCATGTAAATCCTGAGTAAACAGATATTGGAATTGCAAAATTAGTTTAAGGGAAACTGGAGGTCTAGGTTGCTGACATCTACTGGTCCTGGTCAAATATGGTACTTTCTAACTTAGCAACATTTTTAACTTTGTAAATAACATACTTTCAAAAATCTTAGATTAAGTTTTCTAGAAGATTCAGATTGTAACATCTATCCCATAGTTACATAATAAGTGCTTTTGAGACACCCTAAATAATTTGAGCATAGTTTACTTAAATTCATACGCTATTGAATTTTAAGTACTCAATGATTTTTAATCTTTTAATTTGCAAATGAATTAGTGATTTGTGATATATGTTCTATTCTTAGGGAAAATTTATAGCATTACATTTTACTTTTTTTTTAACTATGTTTATGTGTTTTTTTACATGTAAAAAATGCTCTTTATTTTAACACTTGCAAATAAAGTAAATCACTCTATACCTGGCTTGGTTATTCAGATCTACATTAATTGATAACACTCCGTTTAAATACACATCATGTCATTACAGCTTATTAATTATTTACTGGCTGGTTGCTCAGAAACAAACATACTTACATAGCATGTGACAAAGGAATTATGTTTTGGAATGTTGGATCATCACTGAAAGAGCCTGCTTTCACTGATGTTGCACCAGAAGCAAATACTGAAAGTATTTCAGGAGGAGTAGTCCAATGCAGAACAGAACACAAATATTCATCAGAGCCCATCTGCAGAGCAACAGATGTGATCTGAAAGTTAAGCATTTGAAGACCAAAATGATTCATCCAAATCATACAACAATTGAATTAAAATTGACATTAATACTAAACGCATATGCAAAATGTACTATGAATAAAATATTGATCAAGTTACATAAACTGGGAAATGTGCTTTGTTCATAGTAGCTGAAATAGCAGGTTGTATGGCATTCTTCCATGAGTAAAATCTTTATCAGACTTCAGAACTTCCATCTGATTAGTTGATCTATGCATAACAGAGTTTCCAGCAAAATATACCCCCCACACACATTGTAAAATATTGCGAATATACAGAGGAAACAAACATCTGATGCAACAGTTGCCCAAAGTTGAGGATACAAACCTACCATTCAAATTAGTTCTAGAAGAAGCACTCTTCTCAGGAAAGTACCTTTTGCATCTGTAGGTTTAATTAGACCATAACATGAATATGAGACAGTTTCCCTAAAAATGTTCTCTGCCCTTAAGTACTAACTTTAAACCCCTTTTTTCCCAAAAATGTTTTTATGACTTTCAAAAGGGGGAAAATTCAGATAATCACTTATTTATACTGAAAGAAGCTTAGTAATAACATTCTATTTTAACCTCCATACTAGTTACTCAAATTAAAATGTTTGTACTATTATATTATAACTATATAGTGAAAAGACATGTTTTCCTCTATACCCATTATGTAGCATGGTGTACGAATGTGCTATGCAAATGCACCTCACATAAAAATGAATTAACTTTTGAAATGATGCATTGTTAGCAAGTAAAACAATTTATACCTAATCCTTCAATTTTTGTGCCATTATTTTGAAATATGTCCACTAATTAATGGATACCACGTATTATTATTACAGTCACTCATTCTATTACTTGTTTTGACCCAAAGAAACATACAAAATAAATAAATAAATAAAATAAAATTGTGTACTATATTAATCATAGTTCCGGTAATTCCTAAAAACCGAATATCTAACTTTTTCTCAATTCTATTCACCAATTTACTCTTTTAATTAATAAAATATATATATCATATTTGTAAAAATAATTAAGAAATTTATCAGAAGGAAAGCCCGATAAAAAGTGTTACATATTAATAAATGAATTTTTTTCTATAAAATGGTTTAAAGCAGAACACCGTGTACAGTTTTCAAGTAATATAGATCTGTAAAAAATGCTAATTATAAAACATTAACATGAATTGATATAAAAATTGTATGTAAAGCTAAATCACATAAAAAAGGAAAGCTTGAGGCTGTAACATTGAATATTTTCATTATAAAAATTAAAAAGTAGAATTATGGCACAAAGATAAACAATTACTAAGATTTAATGAAGAAACTGCCATATTAATATGATTCTTTTACTTCACATAAATTTCTTCCTACCTGGATTGTCTTGCCTATGTCATTTAAATCAGGTATAAAACTAAAAGTGTAAGTGTAGGTATTTCGAGGTACAAGATTAAGCTTATGCACATTTGTTTCTTCAGAATAGTTAATTTTGTCATTAGCTGAGGGAACTTCACAGAAATGATTATAATACTGAAAAATAAAAATAAAATAAACCATTAATAAAAAATCTGCATAAATGAATTATAAAAGGATTCAAATGATGATTAATAATAATTGACAAACATTTAAAAACTTACTTCATTATTAAACAATACAGTTAATTTAGAAAATGAGATTGGCTGCGGGCAGTTCATCCTTTAAAAGAAAAATAAAGATTCAATCTCTATGAAATGAAAATATATAAGAAAAGAAAACAGCAAAATTTATTTCAGTTGGTAAAATATTAATGTCAAATTAAATATCTCATTCTTTCCATCCTGTGAATGATATGTAATTTATGCATCATTAAAATCTGCATAAGGTTTTACTTTATTTTTCTAATAGTTTTTATTTTTGAACTACTAGTTTCTCACCTACATTTCCCTGCCAGGATGAGTTTTTTAGGATAACGATTTATGCAAATAAGTTTGAAATGAGTCTTTAGCTGAAGTCTAGGTCACCTCAGTGAGAAAGAATGTTTTACCTTTCGACCACGTTGTTGCTATTAGTTAAAGTTTGCTATTCTACAGCCGTACTTAATACGTACATGCTAACCTATGTCTGTTATTCTTAATTAAGGACCAACTCGGAGAGTTTGATTCTGTGCAGCTTCAGCTACTTAATTTGATTTAGTATTAGTTAGTTTTCTATTTTCTGTTTTGGTTTAAAGCCCAAGTGAAAGCTTCTTGTACACAAGAACACAGCGAATAGTCACTACATAGTTCTATAATATTCTAGACTTGAAGAAACTCTATTTCAGCTAGGAAATTACATTCTAGATAATATGCAATGTATGCATCATTGAAAACATTCAAATCAGATTTTTTCACTTCAATCAAATCCCCAAATTTTTCAGTTCAGAACTACTAGTTACATTGAAAACTAATTCTTTGATTACTCATATAGCTAGGAAGATTTAAATCCTTTGAAAATTACTATCTTTTTATAAATTTTGCTGCTGCAGATATATAAAATATTAAAAGCTATTGCTTTCAAATAAATTTTATAAGGCACAACAGTATATTCTGCAAATTAAAATCAATTACTCATTGATACTTTTTAACAGTACTTTTACACTAATTGTTTATAAGAAAATAAAACATAATATAGCAATCCTTTACCTAGAGCAAAAACTTCATTAGCTTTCCCCAGAGACTTACTTTTATTTGAAATAATCATGCAATATTTTAAGCCTGACCTGCAGAAATATAACTTTTCCCCCTTTGACATGATTAAAAAATGTCATATTAAATATATTAAAACACTAATTTATTTTTTACATATTTCATATTATTACTATTTACTGTTGACAAATTTAGTTATTAAAACAAATAAGCAAATAACTAACATTTAACACTGTTATCTCAAATACATATCAAAATCACTAATTTATTACTGAAATAACTAATTAAAAATGGAGAAATATACTTTATGAAATATACATTCCATACCTCAAATAAACTGTAACTGTGATCCGCTGATCAGCCATATAACTTTCAGATGCAAAGCCAGCTTTACATTCAACTAGAAGAACATATCACACATTATAAAGATTATATTTTTTAACATAGTTGTATAAATAATATGCTATGTGTCTTGTAGATACAAAATTAATTCATAAATTCCTTAAGTTATTATTTTTTATCATTCTGTAGAATTCAAGTTTATAGGCTTCTTAATTAATTTCTTGCTTTCAAATATTTTTAATTAAAATATGCCATTAGATCATCAGCTTTAAAATAAGGAAATTGAAAATTATTACCAATGTAAAAGGATTTCAAACTGGCAAATATGATTTAAAATCAAATAACATAATTTAGACCATTAAAACAGCTGTATTATGATTTTAATGTAATTTTTTAAATTAAGAATAATAAATTAAATATTAAGCTAGAGTTTTAGGCTAATTTCATTCAATATATATAATTATATCTAATACTGGCAAAAGTGAAATGGGGGAAAATTGTTTATCATAATGTTTTTAAGTAGTATGAAAATGCAATTAACAACTCATGTGCCATATAATCTTGTACAGAGAAAATAGTAATATAGCATTTAAAAATTGAAAGCAAAATTAAATACAGGTGTCTATCATTTAATGTTAGTTAAATCTTCATAATATTGCTCAATAGACTACTGCAACATATTAAAACACTTCTGAATGAGAAAATTCAATCAGAGAAGTTGCTCTTAAGCTCTTTTACATGAAAGTGGAATATGTGCAATTTAAGTTTCATTAAGATAAAATAAGATCATTGTCTTAACTTTTTTTAAAAAATCTGTTATCAAAATTTTTTTATAGCATTTACTTTTCTTCTGACACATAGTTATCAATATTTGATTTTGATTTACATTTGAAAGAGATGATCTAAATTAAACAAATTTAAAAACAAAATATTTCGAAATTTACTGATTGGGAACCTCCTGGTTTTACTGGAAGGGTTGGTAGCTTTGCATTACACATTCTTGAATTTTATTTAGTGCAATGTTCAACCTGTATTCAAATATAAACTATTATCATAAAAGTGTGTATTTAGTGTTATGCATTTCACAAATACTGTAGAATGAGCTGTTATGTACATATTGCAGTTCATCATATATGGATGCTTGCTTTTAAAAATATCTAAAATTGCACATATAAATTATCAAGTCCTAACACAAAAATACAGAAAATGAGTCTCAGAAGGCAGCTTTCTTATTTCAGTTTCACCCAAATAATTTTTTTTAATGAAGTTTAATTTTATTATACTATCCAAAGATCAAAACATCTAATAAATTCAAAATATAAGCAGTTTTCTCATTGTGCAGAAAAATTAATGCAAAATCATATGTAAACCTAATCCATTAGTCAAGAGTAAGACATGTTTTTCTTTTTATTTGGTGGTCTTATAATTAAAAAATTTTAAATATAATAGTCAATTCTAATCAATAAAATATAAGAATTACAGCATTCTCAATTTTAAAAGAAACAATCTGAATCACTAAGAGAAGCACTGGCTTTACATTTTTCTAAAAATAATCTTCACCTTCTTCCCAAAGAACAAGATGCACCTCACACACATGGTTCAAATGAAACCAAATTTTGTATGTAAATATTGTAGTTTGTAAATATTGTGTTTTGTATGTAAATATGTAGGCTGAATATCCAAGTGATTAAAATTTCAAATCTGAAAAACAGCTCTTTGGTCTCAGGTCTAAAAAATAATCTTTGTTGTGTTTAGCTAATTTACGTGTTAAAGACAGCAGAGTTATCATGAAAAACTTGAATGCAAACACTGTCAGCACAAAAGATGGTTTAGCACTTAATTTTCCACAAATTTTGCACTATTAGTTTTAATGATGCAGACTAGGATAAACTGTTACAATCCAGCCCATTCTGGAGAGACAAGGCCCTCCAAAATTATTGGAAACAAAATAATAAACAAATAACATAAAAGGTCATAACAGGTAGAATCTGGTAACATCTGCAACTTGTCTAGCCAGGAAATGAAGAAGCAATTGTGTGAAAATTGCACAAACAGTGATTATTATATCATTTTTTATCATCCATGCTCATAGATCCAAATATACACAGTGGTAGATTTAGGATTTTGCCACCCTAATCTAAACTTGTTCTACTGCCCCTATTCACAAGTATTATTTAGGATAATAATAAATCAGAATACCATTTCACATATATTTCTATTCAAATAAAGATTTTATTTGAATAAAGATAATTCGAAGAAACTGTAAAATTTAAAATTAGGAGAAACACTACAAGGATTTTTCAAGGATAATTTTGTATATCAAATTACCTTTGACATTAATAGGTTTCATTCAAAATCTATGCCAGTTTAAGGCTACTTTTTCCTCCAGTTTAAAAAAAATTACATGTGTATTTATGAACTGTGAACATGTAGGAGTTAAAAAGTTATTAAAAATAGAAATGAAAAAGAAAAATGAAAGAAAGGAAACAAGAAAATTCAAAGAAAATAATAATTAGTTTTTAAATTAATTTATGTTAATGTGCATAGCATTAACCATAAAAAATACTGAAAGAAAAAATTTAATACATATATCTGTTTATTTTATTTCATAATTTTGTGTTACTCTTTTGCTTCTGCAAATTTCTTAACTATAACAGGGTTCATAGCCACATTTTAGTTAAAAAAATAAGCACCTATAAGCACTTTTCAAGCACATTTTAAGAAAAAATATAAGCACATGTCTAATTACATTATACACAAATGCATAACCTTAAAAATTAGACTTGTAATTTAAAATATGAGAAATGCAGTATTTATCAAGAGAGAATAAGCATTACCTCAACCATAAAAAATAATTACTCTTTTTTTTTTTTTTTTAATTTTAAGTAACAGTTCAATTTACAGAAGTAGTTTACAATGAGAGAAAAAAAACTATGCAGAACCAAACTATATTACAAGATTCAATGATGAAATTTCAGTTCAAAATAGAGAAAATAAATAATAATAAGGCATATTTATTGTATTCGCTTTGAACCTAATAATAAATACAATTTATTTTTCCACTCATACTGATATTTAAATAATTTAAATCTAAATTCTGAACATTTTCTAAATTTTCATTGTATATCAGTTTTTCCCTAACAGATATTGCAAGCAAAGTAATTTAAGTAAAAAAGAGGAACATTTCTGAAATCAGAAGACAGAAATTTGCTTCATGCAGTCATCCTTTAACAGCAAAAGCTTAACTAACCCGCATACTTGGATATTGGCGAATATTCGGACAGTCGAGCGTAACTTGAAAAAGAGGAGCGGAGGGGGATAGACTGTAGCCGCTATTTAGATTTTTTTCGCTAAATAAGTGCTTTTGACCTGATTTGATATGTGAATCATAAATAAATAAACCAATGGAACTGAAAAATATTCTGCTCAGGAAGCACAGTAAAACTCTTATAAGTGTATAGTGTTCACAAACAAATCTCAGACAGAGCATCAAAATTAATTATCTCTGCAAAATATCGCAAACCGTTATTGCGCAATACGTGCACCGTAATTTTCCCCTATGTGGTATTACGCAATCGGAACCAACAGCTGCCGGTATTGGGAGAATAAAGAAGTAAATAACTGGGGTGTGTTTTATTCTAATTTTCAACACACAGCGCTAAATTTACGGAATAGAATCATTCTTCACTTGGGTTGGTAGACCGCAGAACTTTTAGTCCTATTCAATCCAGATTGGTAAGTGACAAAAAAAAAAAAAAAAAAAAAAAAAAAGGTCCATTGCTTGTTTTGCAGCGAACTGTAATAGTTTCAATATTCGAGATTTTGCGGAGAAAGGGAGAACCTCCCAATCTTCGTACTGTATAATGTATTGGCCAAAAAAATGAAATTATTTTGACTATTCGATTACTTTCCCTTTATTTAAGCCATTCCAAATATTATTCCTTAGAAAGGTAATCTGTGTTAAAACACAACCATTTTTGGAAGTTTACTATACTTCAGCAGTTACTGCAATTATGTTATTATAAACATTCATACATATGCTCATAATATAAGCATAACGATCATAATAAACACGAATATGAACTGACCAAGCGGAACGAGAATGCAAATTATTGAGATCTTGATAGAAATTCAAATGTGTGTAGTATTTGGGTGGGAGGAAAAGAATGCCGAATGTACAGGAATTTTCTATTGCTTTCGCAATTCTTTGACCAATAGAACGACGGGCACCTGTCTGTACTCTTTGTGCACACCAAAGGTTATGTTAATGCAGAGAAAGGGGAAAAAGCTGTTTCTGGGAGTATGATTCACCATCTAACATTCCATATTAGGAAGAAAAGTTGTTTATTTAGTTTCGGTTTTGGTACGAGGAAAAATAGTGCTTTCATTAAAAAAAAGCACTAAAAACAAAAAATAACGGCTTTAAAGAAAAAGTAAGCACCTATAAGGGCCTTTATATTTTATTTTCAAATATAAGGACTTATAAGCACTTATAAGGACCGCTACGAACCCTGTATAACGTAAAAAGAAATATTTTTGAGTACATTATAATCTATTATATTAACTAAATTATGTAATCTTCCCTCAGATATTGTTGATCTTGGGGGGGGAGGGAAGTTTTTATTCATCAAAGACAAGAAAATGATTATTCAGATGTACAGTTTGTAACAGGAGTAAAAAATTTTTCATATGCCAAAGACAAAAAAAATTATCTTTCAAATGTACAGTCCGTAATAGACGCACTTTATTCTTCTTACTTACGGATATATTTCTATTTTCATCATCATTTAAATGTTCTCATGAATATATTTTTCAAATAAACTTGTAAAAATGATGATCAATAACTACAAATAAAATTTCAATTTTGTTCTTTATTATTTAAAATATGTTGCTCTTCTTAATTTATATTGAAGAATAAGTGTGCTTATGAATTTTACTTACTCTACAATCTATGTCAATTAATATATTTTCCTCCTTTTGAAGTAATAAAAATTAATTTTTATATCTTTAAATACATCAGTGAGAGATTTTATAATTTCATTATTATGGAAATAGTCCTGTTATTAAACTGTATTTTTTACTTGTTATATTAATCCTATCCAAAAAATCTTCTAGAACACTGCCATTTTTTGAACTTCAACAAATTATTGACAAGGCTTTTTAATTTCTACCAAATCCTGATTGCAATTTTTTCCATTCATGGCTGCAGAAAGTAAAATAATTAAATAATTATACAGTTCTCTTAACAAATAAAGAAATATAATGTTTCATTACAACTTGACACTGCACAGTGTCTAACAAGGTTTAGGGAGCAAGCAGCATACATTATATGCACAAGTATTAATTTTCTTAATAAAGCTTGGATATCTGAGCAAATTTGTGATTTATTGCTAGCTTGTCATGGGGCAAACAGAATGCCCGTTAAGTCTCAGGTCAGTTCTTAACATTTATCCCAATATTTAGTTATAAGAATAAAAACAACTCCATTGAAATATTGTTCTCCTACATTTACCTCATTAGAAAAAATACTACAAATGACTAATATAAAGAAGAAAAACAATAACTGAGAAATATTTAGTAAGGTGGTGATTTCTCAGTTATTTTAGCCATTAACAAAGCAAAATCTTCATATATAATTAAACATGCATAACTTATGCATGAAAAACAATATTTATTTTCATTTAATAATTTGCAGTATGATTAACAAAAAAAGGGGGATAGATTTCAGTAGTTAACTGCACTGTCCTTAAAAAACGATTATTTCATCGCAATCTTCTAATGGATGCTCATGACTAGTTAATTTTTTTATTCCTGCATTGTAAAATTTCTTTCTAATAACTGATTTTTTCCATTAATCTGCAAGTATAGCTTTTGATTATCATCATTATTATTATTTGCATGTACATCTTCTGATCCTCCCCTAGATACTCTAACTTTTAAATTTAGCATATAGGATTTATGAAACTGCTAGTGCTGTTCAACTATTAAATTCCTCTAATTATCATATCCTGTATTTCCAAACTACTTACAGTAGAGTCTTTCATCCAATATCTAAAAATCCATGAAATTTTACTAACACTTTCCTCTTTGTCCAGTCTCTTAAGGCATCCAATTGCATTTCCATTGTCATGTTAGTCTGCCTTCTTTTCTTCTTGGTCAATATGTCACTTGCATAGATAGACAATACAACATTTGCAAGCCTATATAGAAACTAATCTGCCCCCCAAAAATTAAAAATTTATGTTACAATAAAGTAGAGCCATATACTGTCAGTCAAGCCTGTTAATGGCTAGTAATCGAAAAGAAAAGAATGTGACTAGTAATTGATAATTGCTACTTGATTTTCTTCAGCAACTTTATTACGAATGGGATGGATTGGGATTTTTGCAAAAAGAACAAAACCTATAACCAGATTCTTCATTCAGGTTCCAAGAAAAAGTGTCACAAAGCGAAAGAGACAAAGGCTGAAAAATTTGAATACTGTAACATATCTTTGAATAGAACAGAAAAACATGCTGACATTCATACACATAAATACATATTGTAATTACAAGAATAAAAATATACTTATTCTGTTTGCACAGTATAAGCTATGTTAGGAATTATTACAGTCTAGCTGTTAATACACCATTACATTATTTCACAGATAATTATGTTCTGCTTGAGAAGAAATCATTTAGAAACAACTTTTTTTTTTTTTTTAAACATTTTGAGTAAATATGCTAGTATTTTAGCATTTTAATATTATGTTTGATCAGAACAGCTTCTCCCTTATCACTTTTTTTTGGTGGTGGTGGTAGGGTACTAATAATTATATAAGCATTTTCTTGAGATGACTTTCAATTAATACTAAAATTAGTAAATTAAAAAAAAAATTAAACAAAACTCATCTAGCTTAGTTTTAATTTTTCTGCATTACAGAGATCATTTCAAACGAAACTCACCTAATCTGGTTTTAAAATTACCTTAATATACAAATCAATAAGCAAATAAGAAATCAGAGAACCAATTAAATGAATCTAAAAAGACTTTTTGTTTCTGTTCATCAAATAGCACCAGTCTGGAATAAGACAGGGCCAAATTTGCATCAATTAAGTAATAAAAAACATTTTTCAATATCAATATGTTCAACAGCATATAATGAGTCTATTAGCTAATACCGACATTTCAGGACAATGTGACAATATTTTTTTTACTATTGCTTTACATTAAGAAAAAATATAAGCCATAATATAGTTATTTATTTATTATCAGACATTTGCATCTGAAAATGTGTGAAAACTTTTAAAAATCCGTTTATAGTTAAGTTTTTTTTTTTTTTTTTTTTTTGTATCAGTTTAATTTTGCAAACTGATTGAAATTTATAATTCTAAGTTTTGCTAGCAATAAAATTTGTTGCCCTAGGCTTTAACTTATGGCTAGCCACCTCTGCACACAAATACATTAACATGAACAACCATAGGATGACTTGTACAATGTCATTCCATTCCAAGCGATCAATCTGTTGCTTAAGGCTGATCATCAAGTATTGTTGACACTGTCTCAAAACAAACAAACTTGTACAAAGTTACTTGCATAGTCATAGATGCATGGAATATCTCTATATTGGTAATTCCATAAACTTCCTGCACCAGGAATAACAACCTTCAAAACACTTGGATATGCTTGACAAGCTCTCAGTACCACCTTCACAACAGAACAACACACTAAAGAAATACAACTAGTTTTGTTATTCTTATCACAGCATCTCCATATCAGATTTCAACAGGTCAGTTTCCAGCCAAACGATACAGTTTTACCAGGATTGTGTTCATGGTATTAATTCCTTTGCATGGTTAATCCAACCACCTGTGATTAAGCACACCTGGTACATGATAAGATACATTTCATTCTAGAATGTTTATAAACTGGCTAGCCAATTTAATCATGTCTGGCACATCACATATCAGGATGTTTTTTGTGAAATACACATACAAAGTCTGTCCTGAAAGTAATGTCAGTAAGTGTATTAAAAATCATTTATTGAATTTATCATTACAAGTGTTTAAAAATCTTCAAAATAGTTTCCTTTTACATCGACACATCAGCTCCAGCAGAACTTCCAGCTCTTAAATGTGCTGCATTAATCTTCCTCCAGATGTCCTTTAACCCTTTGGGTACATTTGATGACTTAGACTTCTCGTTCACTTGTTTGCCTAAGTTATGGTTAATGAATCTTAATCACCATTCAAACTAGGACAAAATTAAACATGTGCATTCTTGTTCATGGCAAAAATGATTGGTATCAGTTATAAGAGCAAGTTTCTTCCTGTACTTCAGTGAACGTTGTTTGTGAAAAGTAAACAGAAGAATTTTTTCAAATAAATCCGTACCCTATGGGTTAATCTCTGGTGAGCTGCTTTGATCCTGTCCACTGTTTCAAAATGCTTGCCTTTCAGGTGTGCTTTGAGGCATGAAAAGAGAAAAAAACCCGAGGGGGAGGGGGAACCAAGTCCGGGCTGTACAGAGGCTGGAGGATTGTTGGCATCCCTGCTTTGACCAGTTAGTCCGTGACGATGAAGGCACTGTGGGCCGGCACATTATCGGCACGCTTCCAGTTGTCTATGATGTCCGGCCAGATGTGTTGAACTTTGCGTTTCAGTCTTTTGAGGACTTTCACACAAAATTTAGAGTTCACAGTGGTTCTAGGTTCTACAAATTCATGATGAATCAGTCCGTGGATGTCAAAAAACATGATGAGCATCATCTTGTTCTTTTATTTGCTCCTCCTGGCTTTCTTCAGGTGGGTGGATGAGGGTGTGTGCCACTCTGATGATTGCCTTTTGGTTTCCGGGTCATATTCAAATACCCAAGTCTCATCACCTGTAATGATGCTGTCCAAAAACTTTCGATCACATTTCCACAAGTTGAGGTTTTCTTGGCATGTTTCAATGCACCATGACTTTTGGTCATGAGTCAGCACTTTTTTTCATGAGTGAGCACTTTTGGAACCATTTCTGCACACACCTTCCGCATGCTGATATGGTTTGTAATGATTTCATGAACTTAAGTTTTTGGAATGTTTAACATGTCGGCCATTTAACAAACACTTAGTTTAATGCACTTAAACTACTTTTAATCATCGGTCTGAGCTCAACAGTTCCTTCACTCATGTCACATTGTCAGCCGTGGTGGTCATGGATGGCCGTCCAGCGTGGTCCTCGTCATCAACCTTTACCCAGCCTTCCAGAAAGGCCTTGTGCCACTGAAACTCTTGTCGATTTGACAGGGCATGTTCTTTGTAAACAGTCTTGATCATAGTAACAGTCTCTGTAGCAGTCTTGCCAAGTTACACGCAAAACTTGATCACAAATCTTTATTCTAATGAACGCTGCATTTTCAATTGCTGAAGATTTAAAAAAACTTTCACAGACAGGCCGTCCTCACTCTCCTGATGTTCGAAGCACACTGAGCGATGGTGTGCTACTTAGCTGAGTTCCCCCACTACCAGTTTCAAATAGTTAGGCCACGTTCCAACATACAATCACATACCAATAAATTCACTGATATTACATTCAAGACAGACCTTGTTTATCTTAACTACATCATGTAAATTCTGGTACATGAGCCAAAGAAGAAACTCTCCCAACTTTTTCCAAATAAAGACCCACTGCTCAAGTATCATTATCATTTCTTTCTTTATGTAAATTAAATAAAATGGCAAACATAAAATTTAAGTTGAAATGCACACTATTTCATTTTAGTTGCCGTAACGGCAAACATCTGACTTACTAAATGGAACAATTGATGCCATCTGAATAGTGAAAATAAGAGGTTCCTTGTGATTATGCATTGTTTCCTGCCATAACTTTTCTGCTTCTTTATTATCTTGCTCAGAAATTCCAGGCATAGCAAATAGTGGCTTTCCCTTAAATTACACAAAATTATAATATTATTAAATCACAAATGTACATATTATATTCCAAAATGGTTGTAAACAAACAATTAAAACCATAAACATAGTACATGGGGGAGAAAAAAAGGTTACATGCATTTTCCAGTTTGCATAGCTCCCAAATAACAAACTTCAGGCGAAACAACAGAAGTTACAGTTTCATTTCATAAAAACAATTTCAGTACAAAATCATGATCATAAATAAGTAGAATTCTGGATAGGTAAGTGTTGTTCAATGATGCTACAAGTATTTTTGGAGAAAAGGAGATAAAATTAATAGCACTTAACAAATATGAAATAAAAATCAGAATTTCCAAGATCTAAAATTTTTTTTAATTTTTAAGAGAAATATCTATGAATATAAATTCATAGATGATTGTAGACTCACATACCAGCACTTCTTTAATGTTGATTAAAATTAAAATAGAATAATAATACAAATTAATAATGCAAATTAAAATAGATGTGGGATAATCTCATGTTGCCCAATACTAAAAAGCTGTAGCATAGCTTTTAGAAGAATTTTAGGAATTCAGTACAGTCAATTCATGATTAACCAAGGGTGCATTTATTGGGTTGCAGATTAATCACACACTGCCTTAAAAAGTTAAATTTATGTATTGCATAAAGATAAAATGATTACTATCATGAATCATCAGCATAAAACAAAATTGTCTACAGAAAATATAAAAAGGAAAAGAAAAGTGTATGGGACAATAACAGTGACACCAGATAATGCTTTCCAGACGAAATCTGCCTAAAACAGAAAGTTTTAACTTTTTTTATAATGAGTGTGATGCAATGGCATTGTTGGATTTTCTTTAATACTATTTATTTTCAATCCAATGGTATTTTGGGTTTTGTTTAATGCTATTAGTTTCTTCCTTACTAATGATATTTATTCTTCTATTATTTACTGTGCATTCTTTACACTGCATGAAACTACCCTCATGTAATCATGATTTCTGAGTTAACCATGGACATCTTCCCAGGTATTATACTGGTTTATTGGAAGTTGTTATAACTTCCATTAACTTTTAATAATAATGCTGCCAAATGATGTCAAGGTCTTCAATGTAATACCTTTAAGTGTATATATGATGGGGGACTCTTTAGACCTTATAAAACATTTGATCCCCTTGTTACACTTCAGACCTTCAGCATACTTTTTTGAGCTGCTGATGGATAGGATTCAACATCTCAGCACATTTGATGTCCATATTGCAGGACAAAGATGTATGGAATATATCATTTATGAAGTCGAGCAGGCACTGGGCTTTCCTTGAGCCACTTTTCATGGCTATATGGAGTCTGATTAAACTTGAGCTTGACACCAGGTGGTTCTGACAAGTAATCTGTTGCTTTATATCTCAGCAGATTGCTAAACAACAATGCTACGAATCATTCAGCCATCCAACAATGGAGAACAATGAAGTGTAAACAGGCATACTATCTAGAACTATACTTTTGCAATGGTGTAGAGAAACCATCATCCAGTGAGGTGCTTCTGTTCACTGCGCATCACAAAAGTCAAAGAAACACTGCCATTAGATCCTTAAAGTAAGGAAAAATTGCACTTAGCCTGATGAAGTTAAGTATGAACTGATGAGCTAAGTATGTGTGTCACTTGCTGAAAGCAGGGTGCGAAGCTTATCAGCTCTTGTCAGTAGGATATAGTTCATGCAAGTGTAGTGCCCAAGGGATTAAAACCACTGAATATAGTCAAAAGTCGTTCATTCGGACACCCATAATACGGAATGATCTGTAATCCGGACCTCAAAGCTACAAACTTTCTGCGCATCCGTCGTGTCGACATAAGACCTTTACGGCTGCAAATATGCATGTGCGCATGCGCAAAATACGTTTATGCATGCACGTTTAATGTATAACAGATGGTATAAGCTAAGCTAAAATTATCTAATTCAGTTAATGTTGCAGATTTCATTGTTCCTTAACCTTCGAATTGGATCCAGCTTATTATTTTTTGCAGACTGTTAGAGCAATTTTATAAAAGTAAGCTTGAACTTTCGATTATGTCAAATAGAATTTCCGATATATATTTACTAATATGTAAAGGATCTACAAAGCGAAAGTATGTTTCGAAGTCCATTAAACAAAAAGTGGAATTGCTGCAAAAAATGACCTAACCATTCCGAAATCTGTTTATTAATTTCACGCTGCTCTGTGGCGGCGGCGGCGGGGGGGAGGGGATGCCACAGCGCGCAATGAATTGGAAGTTGATCTGTCAGCACTATCCTTATATTCAGGGCAGATGTTTTTATTTTATTCAATCATTCTTTACTAAATGTAGTTTTTCATCTCGATGTACTCGGTCTTTGATATGATTTAAATCAAGTTCCTCGTCATTATAATTCGCTTCCGATAGTGAAGAAAGTGACACAAAGGTTATTGAAAACGAAAAAATTTTGATTGACAAATTAGTCGGTATTCTCGACACAGCAATTATAGGACTTGAACAGCGGAACTTTGTAACTGAACAAGAAATTATGTCTGTTTATAGAATTAAAGAGAAAGTATTATCACATAAAACGAAGCAACTTAAACAACTTACATTGAAAGAAATGTTTAATAAAGTAAACAAATAAATATTAAGCTTTTTCTTTTTGTAAATTTTGATACCCTTTAGATCATAATTGTTCATTTTATAAATTACAGTTTCATATTTTTAATTTTATAATTTCTGCATGCCATCTCACCAGATTTATACTGATGATCTATAATCTGGAAAAATTGATAATCCGGAATCGCCGAAGTCCCGACGAGTCCGAATTTGTAGTTTTGGTTTGTGCTTGATCGCAGGCAAAAGGGCTGGCCGCATGGTTCATTTTCATGGTCTTCTCCATATATAACATGGACGCAAGCCAGTTTCCTTAAAAAGACTGATGAACTTAGCCTGATGAATCACTGTCACTTAGCCTGATGAAATTAACCTGAAGCTAAATAAACCAATTTCTTCAAAAAGTCAGATGAACTTAGCCTGATGAATCACTATCACTTAGCCTGATGAAGCTAAGTATGTATGCAACATGCTGAAAGCATGGTGCAAAGCTTTCAAAGCTTGTCAGTGTAGTTCATGCAAGTCTAGTGGCCAAGTGATTAAGACCACTAAATCCTGGTAGTTTGAACAGGTCTGGGGTTGAGCCCAGGCAAAAGGGTTGGCCAGGCAAAAGGGTTGGCAGTTTTCTCAAAACGTCCTCTATGAATGCATCTCTCCTCTTAGGCAGGCAGCCTTAGTGGCTTTGCCATATTCAAATAAGCAAACATCAAGCAAGTGTAGGTGTAATTTTGTATGGGAACTCTTTTAACAGGGGAAAAAATTTGCCCCTCAGTGCATATACTTTTATCTGTCTCTTACCAACAAACAATACAGGAACCTTCTACCAGATTATGTGAACTCATTTGGTTGCTTACAATATCCTTCAAGACCTACAAGACAATGCACTGTTTCATTATTTCTAAACTACTGCTTAGTGGTTCAAGGAACACTCAGCAAAGATGAGAGTGCCGGCCTAGCTCATGAGGTCACATGACCTCAATCCTATCAAACGCATTTAGAACAATAATGGCAGAGATATGAGCATTTTAGACCCTGTTCCAACAAATCTTCATGCGGATATCTATGCAGCATGCAGAAATCAATATAACTCAGAGTGCTTCCACTATCTCATGGAATCCATATCATGCTACATTGCCATAGTCTTCAAAGCGAAAGAGAGCATTACACACTACTAGGCATGCATCCATATTTGAATTGCTTGTCAGAGTACACAGAGCAGGCTAGAAGAGGTTATGAAAATTAAAATAAGCATTTATTTTTGTCTGCAAAGTTAAATTATAGATTAATTACACATGTGAAAGTAACAGACTTATTAACTAAAAAACTTCTGCATTTTTATTGCAGATATTGTAATAGATCTCTTTTTTTGTCACTGTTTCTGAAGAATATTTTACAGCACTAATAGTGAAATTGTGTTTCATTCAATACCTTTGCTAAATTATGTAATAAATAAGGTTTTAGCTCCAATAATGAGCTCATGTAGAAGAGTTTAGAAGCTATTACATACTGGTTTGGATACCTGCTTTTGTGACCAAGTGTAAGCTGATGGTCAACAGTTTAAATATCTGCTTTAGTGCTTTAGTGTACTACAATGGTATCTGCCGAAAATATTGTGGAGAAAACAATAAAACGCAAAAATACATATTGTAAAAATTATTGTGAAAAAAATAGAAAGCTAAGAAAAAACATTGCAGTTCTAAATTACCATGGTATAAAACAACATTGTAAAAAATAAAGCTGTTCAAAAACATCACCATAAAAATATCGTAGTACAACATAAAGAATCTACAAATCATCGGATGACTATAATATCGCAGACATATTTTTCAAGGTTTAAAAGTTCCAAATGCATACTCACATAATGATTTATAAGCACAAGTAAGGATTAAGAATATTTTTATATCAATATTTCATATTTTTTGATTCATTAATAATATTTTTGGCTAAAAATGCAAGAAAGAAATTTTAGCATTAAAAAGCTGAAAAATGAGTAGAAAATTAATGTTAAGTATAAGTATGCATAAATCAATGCTACATATGAGTATTATTGCTACTAATTGTATTAATGCTACTTAGTTAATAGAATTTTAAAGTTATATAAACTATTAAATGACATCATTTAGTTAACCTTCCAGCACGAGTGCTTGGCAATTTTACATGAGCATGCGCGTGTTGCATTTTTTACGACATCCGTTATTTTACCGTTTTTGACATGAAAAACGATAGAAATGAGTGAATATTGATAATAAATTTGTTAAGAAATCAAATATTAATCTTATTATTGCAAAATACAAATGATATCACATTCAAATATAAGTAAATTATTTTTAAGTTAGTGAGATGGAAATGCAAATAATGAATTAGATGCAAATCATTATATAAAATTTTAAATTTT